CTCCCCCTCGAGGTGCGTGCTTGGGATATTCTTTTTCTGTGCTAAACAAGGGAGCAGAGGGAAAGGAAATCATCAAAATAATATCGCAGCTATGATGTTCTTCTCAGAAACATCCTGACTGGAATTTCCCACATTTGCAAGTATTTCATGTCTCACCACACAGCCCAGACTAACCCAAACTCCAGCATTGTTTTTCGTCTCTGGAACTGCTGTTCCTTGATGCAGCTTTTAACTTTCCCACTTCCTGGGTAGTCACTTGATTATAGTTAAGTGTTGGTAACAGTTTCAAAATCTTTGGTGTCTTTCCTAATATTTGGCTCAGCATTCCAGCAGCTTACAGACCCACTATTGCAGCAAGCATTTTTTGCCTTCTGGAGATGAGAGGCCATTTTGCATACTTCAGACTGCAGGATTTCTTCACTCTGGCACCAGGTGGCTGAAGCAAATGCCGACTGATGGGGGGTGGGCCGCTGACCCACTGCAGGCTGAGACCGTGGGCCCACTGAGCCCTGGCAATGAGCTCCGGTTCGTGGCGCAGTCAGTGCCCATCCTCACCGCGTCCCATTTCCTGCTGCTGCTGCTGGAGCCGGGGCAGAGCCGGGCCTCAGATGTGGGATACGAAGCGGATGCGCTGGGAGTACGCCAGGTCAACCACGTAGAGCAGCAGGTTGACGTAGGTGAAGATGGCCACCACCAGCTGGCTGTCCCAGGGGCACCTGCCCTTGGCACAGGCGCTGGGGCGCTGCGGGGAGCCGTACTTGCTGTCAAAGCAGAACACCGGCCAGATGACGGCTGCGCTCACATACAGCAGGACGGCCCCAAAAGTGTAGACGACCACAGAGCGCTCGAAGGGGAAACACAGCTGGGCGGTCTTACCTGTGACACTGAAGGCGACCACCACCACCGTGACCATAAAGCAGAAGCTGTAGACGGCCACGCACCACTGTGTGGCCACGTATTTGCTATACTGGCTGTCGTTCACCAGCGCCCCAAAGATGATGCAGGCCACAAAGGCTTGTACGATCTTCAGGAGCCCGGAGACGGTGGCCATGTAGCTGGTGACCTGTCCTGGTTTGGCCCTGGTCAAGAACACCTCCGCGCCGTACACAACAAACACGAGGCCGGCAAAGACGCTGGCCGCTATGCGGAAGTCTCTCACCTCGCAGGTGATGGGGTAGCAGCCGAGCTGCACGAAGTAGAGCGGGTAAATCACCGCCGCTGTGACCGACATGAGCGTGGCGAGCATGGCGAACGCAGCTGTGAAGTTTCCCCAGGAGATGCTCAGACAGCTGTGCAGGTGCGTGAACTCGCAGGTAATGATAAAGACAGTGACAGCAAAGCAGAAGGTCCAGACAAACATGCAGAAAGTGCCGTATGCTGCGCTGAATCCCCCCTGGTGGGCCACCAGGCTGAACGTGGTGCATCCGAACATCATCTGCAGCAAACGAACTATTCCCACCGGAGATGTCACAGCCGCGGTGTTCAGATACGGCCCTCCTGTGCTCTCCATCATCTTTCCAGTCCTGCAGATGATGCACTTAAAAAAAAAAAACAAACACCCAAACTTCCTTTCAGGCTTTTGCCCTTTGTCCTGAGTCACACCTGGCACCGGATCAGCGGACAGCAGCTCCAATTCCTGCCTCCCTCTGCCGGTATCCGTAGGTGCTGTGCTGACGCTGAGCGTGCGTCTCTGGCACGGAGTGCTGCTGCAGGGAGGTTGCTGCTGGCTCTGCCCACCGGCTGCGCTCTCGGGGTGCTGCGATCCGTTCCCGGCTCTGAATGCTGTCCCTTATTCTGTCCTTTCGCTGCCTGCTTTCCCTCACGATGGCTGAAAGGATCACGTTCTCCCCAGGGGCTGACATTTATTCCATTTTAGCTCTGCAGCTGTAGCTCTGCCGTGGCGCTTTCAGGAACCCAGGCATATAAATAGGGGCTATATTAATAGTGCTGGAACGAGTCCTGCCCCCCTCAACTGCCGTGAGCAGTGTTATTTAACACTGACACCACGAGCTCCATCGCGGCTCTGGGTCGCCCTTCTGCTCCTCTGGATGTGTGTCGGTCAGTGCTGCTCTGCAGGCAGCTCAAGAGCCCCAAGCACAGCCCTGGGGGGGGACGGGCCTGGATGCCCCACGGGCACTGGGAAAGCCTGCAATAGAAGCTGACTCATTTTGCTCCTTTTGATCTGGAGCAGCGATAGATTTGCATGCTGTGAAAGGCCCCGCTGTGCTGCGAGGGCTCAGACACCAATCCTCTCCGTCTCCCTGTTTTACTAATGTGGGAACTGCTTATTCTTATCCCGAGCGCCAAATCCAAAATGCAACCGTTGACAAAAAAATGGCTTTGAGATCCTTTGCTCTGCTTTGGAACACGGATTCCAATAGCAATGGCCAAACCCTACAATTTGATCACAGCTTTCCCCATCGCCGTTTACGGCCTACATTTCCCCAGGCTTCTTCGCAGCTGAGAAGTCTCTTCATTTCGACTATAAAAGTTAAATAAGATGATTGTTGCGACTTCGGAATGCAAAAAACGCCACAGAAGGGATTCCTCATGCAGCCCTCGCGTGGCACCGGGCCACTGCCGTGCTCCCACACCCAGGGTCATCCCCAACCTCAAATCCCACACCAGGCAGAGGTGGCAACAGAGAATTGCTGCTTCAAGCCAGTTTTATGATCTTGGTGTGCAGTCGGGATGGGGTCTGGGTCTGTGCAGGTGGGGCTGCCCCTGGTCCAGCCATGCTCTGTGTGTGAGGCTGGCGGGCATCCTGCTTGCACCCACACACTGCTGCTGTGACCTGGGGGTGGAATTGACACGATTAACATCACAACAAACAGGAAATGCAGTCCAGGGGCTGAGGGGCTGCATGGGAGATTCGCTGTCATTGATCTCTGCCCCTCCTAACTCTGTGATGTTAATCCTTCTCCTCCAACAGGGCCTTTTCCAGGCATAGGAGTCTAAAGGGGCTGTAAGATGGGGACAGACTCTTTAATGGGTCTGTTGGGTAGGACAGGGGAAATGGTTTCAGACTGAAAGATTTAGACTGGATATTAGGAAGAAGTTTTTACACTACAAGCAGTGAGGCAGTGGCACAGGTTGCCCAGAGAGGCGGTGGTGCCCCATCCCTGCAGACAGCCAAGGGCAGGGATGGGCTGTGAGCACTGATGGAGCTGTGGGTGTCCCTGCTCAGGGCAGGGGTGGCACCAGATGGCCTTTAGGTCCCCTTCCAGCTCCAACCATCCTGTGATTCCATGGTTCATCGCTGAGTGCTGCTCTGTTCTGTGGCACGTCCTGTAAGCTGAGGGCTGTTACAAGGTACAGCTATCATAGCATCACTCCATAAGCAGCGTTCTGTTGCATGCAAACGCAGCTGAATTCACGCTCATCATTTTTCTTCTTGAGTCACAACCAGAGCTCCTCCAGGCCCTTTCTCCCCACGCCTTCCCATCGAAGCATTTGGCTGCAGCTGCACCATGCTGGCTATGCTGAGTCTGGAACTGCAGCCATGCAGTGCACATACTTACATCCACTGTCAGCTTTTGATTTCTTAATTGCATTTTAATTTTAGCTCAATCACATGATCCTATTGGGGACAATTTTTCAGTGATGAGTTTCTAATAGAAAGCATCTCATCTAGTCATGAGATCTGAGTGTACAAACACATGGTATGGAATTCTTCCAGTCTCACCCCTCTTGCTGTTGGCTTCCATGTAGCAAATATCACTGGTGGTGAATTTAGAAGTGTCAGCTTCACAAAGGCTTGGGAAAATTATATTTATTGCACAAGTACAAGAAGAAATATAGAGCTGGAAATCACCCTCTGGGTTACAGATTCTGGTTACCAGATACTGCTGGCAACCACATCATATAATTTTTTCTAATAAATTAGCTAAATTCCTCCCTTAACAGTATTTCTGAGGGCTTCTGCTCTGTTATATCTTTCAAAATACTGTTGCAGAGCCACACTAAACTAGAGATTGCTGACTTCCAGGGAATTTTTTCCTGTTTGAAAGAAAAAAAATAGATGTCATACAACCCCCGTGAACATTCCTTGCCTTTTAGAAATTAGCCTTTGGATTCATGTTTTAGAAATACAGGCAACCAGCTCTGTGGAAAATATTGCAGAGTTGAACATTGGCATTTATACGTTTCCTGGCAGAAGCATGGCTGGACACAGAGCAGGCACTTGCCATCAAAATGCATCAGCCTGTGTACAACCATTCGAGAGCAACTGACAGATGCAGCAGCTTCCCTCGATGCTCCCAAGAGAAGAACAAGTGCATGGCAGCAGTTCTGGCTGCTGCTCAGCTACCAGAGCTCTGCACTGATCGACCCTCAGCAACTCCAGCCCTCAAAGGAATCCTGCTTTCTGCATGCTTTCAAACATTCCCTGTACTGAAGAAGCCTCTCAGTTTAGCGCCACGAATAGTCAGAACAATGTTACATCCGTTATTAAAGCATGCAAAATGTTAGTAATTCCTACACAAATAATACGGAAACTGCACTGATAGCTTTCTGGCATTTCAGCTCTGCTGGGAGCACCGTTCATTTTCTCCTTAGCATTCAGCTGAGCTGTGCATCAGGCCCCATCTCGCACAGCAGCACTGCTCCCCAGCACGGTGCTGCCTGAGTGTCTGCTGCAGTGCACAGAGTAAGGGAACGGCTGGGAGCTCGTAGGCAGCACTGCCTTTAACCTGGGAAGCTCTCTCTTGAAAGCACGTGGAATTTTTCTAACGTTAGGCCCTAAAGTTCTGTTGCTTATGCATTGTGCAACCATTACCACAGTGCAAGTGAAAGTTAAGGACCTCTGCAGGAAGGATGGCAGTTGTGCTCTGCGCACAGCTTTGTCTGCGCTGACCCAGCACCGAGGGAAGCTTTTGCATGAGCTTCTTCCTGCTCTGAGGAACGGCCTCGTGCTGCCTCCAGCTTCAGCCACGCTTCTGATCCCTCCCCTGCTCTCACCCCATTTCAAAGAGGAAGGTGTGTTCACAAATGGAAATACGTTGTTTCTTGTCTTGTGCTTTTATGTTGGAAACACTTTGCCTTTCGAGACAGGCCCGCTTGAACCAAACCTTTCTTAACTGCTATAAAAACATATCTTAAAATGCAATGCCCCGGAATAGCTGATATATCACAATCCTCAAGCTGAAAATGCCGTGTAAGGATGCAAACAGCAGCTGCTGGGTGAAAATCTGCATCTTCATACACTACAATCTTCTTTAGAGGGAACGACAAAGCAAACTGCAAGGGGAACACCAGAGTCTCGTTATTATAAAATGACAACACCACTCTCAGCCCACCGCCAGGCACAGTGATCGTAAGGAAATCCCATCCAAATGAGCAGCATATACAACTTTACAAAGACATATGAATGGTTCTCTGGTCAGCTCTTATAAATAGCATTTTACATATTAAAATAAATATGTCCACATTGCCAAAGTAGCAAGAGGTTTCTTCGTTATTTAAAAAAAAATATGTTACAAAACAATATCATTTATATTTCTTGCTTAGTTTTAAAAAAGTAATAAAAAAGTCATTTTATAAAATAAGACAAAAGTAAGTTGATTACAAGAGTGTCCATCCCTAGCACGTGTCCTTGGTTTGTGCACTGCGATACATGATGAGATGCTGGCCTCCAGGAAGTCATGTAATCATTTCTTCACTTCTAGTTGGACAAAAGAAATCCAGTGCTTGCTTTTTTCACCACTTGTACGAGTCTATGATGTCAAATTCATGGCAAGGGAGAAAGTCCTAGATCTGGGGAAGGTTCTCATCGTGCTATGTTTATGGCTTCTCTACTCGCTGTGTCAGATTGCCTTGTGTAACACAGAAGAGGATGTGAATGGCCAAGACCGAGCCCTGGAGCTTGGAGGTAACACGTTCCAGTCAAACAGTGTGAGCAAGAAATTGCTTTTTTTTTTCTTTTTCTTAACACATCCAAAGTGTGCAAGAGTGTGGGAGCAAATGGGGGTGTGCAGGTTTCAGCCTGCGTGGGGGTGAGCGTGCACCAGCCTGCATGAGCGTAAGGAAGATTAGAGAGTGTGGGAGAAGGGCTCCGAGTCTCCTCCTGATCTAATCTCTCTGCCCCTGGCAAGATCCCCTCCTAGTTACCACTGCTGAGCATCCCCAGGAGTTTACTGGGCTCCAGGCCCTGTTGCTGTGCCATCTTCTGCACGTCAAAACCCATGTGCATGAGGAACTGGATCACGTTCATCTCCTGCCCTGTGAACTGGTCCCTGATAGTGGGGCACGAGGGGTTGCAGTGGGGCCACGGACAGCTGTCAATCAGATGAATTGGGCAACCTTTCAGAGGAGCCTTCCCATTTTTGTTGCTCTCATGTAGGCTCCGATCCCAGCAGTGCAGGGCGCGGGGTAATGATGTCCCCTTCACCTGGATGTCCGTCCAATGGCTGAAAAGACAAACCGTACAGGTTGTGTCAGAGAGGTCAGGCTATCAGAACCGTTATTTCCCTTGGTGTTCTCATGTTGACCTTTTACAGAAGCTGTAAAACCACTCACTTGCGTGTAATGATCTCATGAGACAAACAGGCAGGAGCAAAGCTAGCACTAAAGGAGGAAACAGAAACACAGGTTAGGTCTTGGGAGGACAGTTAACTCCTGTTGAATAGAATCTTTGCAGCGAGGCAGAGGGTGGAATTTTTGCTGCCCTGACAAAATTGTTTGGAACAGCAATGACTATCATGACATAAAACCTGGCTGGACTCTAAAGTACCCAGAAGAAAAGGGGTTCCATCCTGCATCTGCTGCAAGTTGCATACAGCAACTAAAGTACACTAATAGTTGATGAGACAACGGAATAAGAACCATCTCAGTGTTTTATGATCAACACTTTCCAAAACAACCCCGTGGGGTGGATGGCTGTGCAATGGCAAGGGGTCTCAGACCTCACTGTGGAGGCTGGTAAAAAACAAAACCAACCAGCACCAACATGTTCTTATCGATGGTAAAGGACAGCTGGTAACTGTGAGCCTGGAAATTACTGTGTGCTTATTCAGAAATGAAAACGTCAAGATTCTTAGCATAGACTAAGTATAGTTATCAATGTACGACACCAGTGTCTGCAGAGATCAGATAAATGCTATCTGAATACTGGATAAAGGGCTTTTCTTGGAAGTACACACGTCGCTTTTTCTCACTCAAAGACTTACGTCACGTCCTTCAAGGTGTTCCTCAGCTCCCTACCCAGATTCTGGATGTAGAGCCACTGCCCCTCCTGAACAGGCTGGCCAGTGAGGTGTACATTGTCCACAGTAAGCTGGGCCTCATCAAACAGCCACTGGACAACAAAGACCGGACCTGGGAAGACAAAAAGAAGAAGAAGAAAAAAAAAGGCAAAGAATGCTGTAGGTTATCTGCAGGGAAAACCCCAGAATCCATTTTCTCTCTCTCCTCCAATACTTACATCGAAGAGTGGGGTAAATCTTATATCCAAAAAAACAATTCCATTCTTCTCCCTCTTTAAACTGCAGCTTACAGCGTTCAGGAACAATACCATTCCAGTACCTGGAAGACAAAGCAACAGCAGAATGAATGTCATAGTAACATCTTACCAGTGATCTTTCCATATGCTGGTCTATCTCTGTTCTGGTTAAAGTGCCAACTTACTAGAAGCAAAGCTCTTTCTTGGCTACACTGCACAGTCAATGCATTTTAGAGCAGCTAACTGCACGTTTTCTTTCACGTGTCTGCATTTTAAATATAATATCCCTGAAGAGACCACTGACATTATAGAATAAATACTCTTCAGGTGTCAGAACGCAGGAAGACCAAGAGGGAGAACAAAAAAGCACACTTCAGAGCACATGACTGTACCTTATTCCCCTTCTGATGGCTTCTGTTGGAGCACACGTGATGGTATCGATGCAGTCAGTTCTGCGGTACTGCTTGTTATCCAGGAACCACCCAGAGTCTGCTAAGCCACGCACCTGGATCCCTTGGTACCCCATCTCCTCCAGCTGCTCTGCCACACGATCCACGTTCAGCAGCACTCCTGTTCCTCCAGCACTGCAACAGCAATTTGAGTGCTGCAGTGACGATGCAGGCACAGCTACGGCACGGCTGCTAGCAGACATCTCACAGCAGCCACGCTCTAAACAACTTCATTTCTCCACTGGACAACCCCGTGGAGAACAGGTGTAGGGCTTGCTGCTGAGAACTCTTCCCATAGAGCCTTCTGCTGTGGAAGCCCTGCAGACACATACCTGCTCCCTGCCAGCAGCAGCACTTTCGCAGTGCTAAGACCTTTTCCCACGAGCTCCTTGATGACCTCCTGGATGATCAGCGCTCCCATGAAGGCGTATTCGTCTGAAACAGAGACCTCAGTGTCAGCAGAGCTGCTTCCTGCCCAGAAGCAGGAAGACTTTCACTTCTTCACAAATGCAAAAGAGCGTTACAGAAGGATCACAGATCTGGACACTGGCCTCTTCCCTCCACCCGCATGTTCCCCCAGTGTTAAACTTTTCTGAAAGAAGTGAATAAGCAGTGAACAGAAAGGTAACACCAGAAGGCCTCCCTACACGGTGCTCAGGAATTGGTGAGCTAAAAGAAGGAAAATGAGAGCAAAGCAGACTGCTTCTGTAGGTATTACTTCTTGTGATATCTTAACTCAGTGAGCACTGAGAGCCACACAAGGTGAAACAGATCACTCGTGCGAAATTGAGCTCGATCTGGAGAGGACTCCTCCAGGCAGATGCTGAGTTCTGGCATTATCAAAAGGACAGCAAAGTGGGCACGTATGCAAAGCAGTGATTCTATTTGCAAAGAATTCTGCAGATAGCTCTTAGTGTGACACACAACAGCTCCTTTCCAAGGACAGATATCTCCCCGAGACAAGTTTGAAGTTAAGTTCACTTGCCTCTCACATCAGCAAAGCCAAAGTCACATGCAACAAACCATGGTTCCTCAGCTGCACCGTTTAATTTGCTGTGTGCTGGAAGCCGGGGAGTCATCCAAAAGGAATTCAGTTCCTCTAATCCTTGCCTACTGCATCAGTAACATCTCCGCAAGCAGTGGCTCTGAACTATGTCAAAACAGACTGCGCTAAAGAGATCAGGATGTTTTATCTGGAAGTAGCTCGATATTCTTTCCTGCCCTTCAGTGAGAAAAGCCTGTTCCCCATTCGTGCATTTCACAGAAATCTGGCCATAGCCTTCAAAGTGCAACGTCTGCGGCAGCAACAGCCTGTCAGCAACACTCACTTTTCTCAGACTTGGAAGAGGCACCGCTCCAAACATCACTTGAGCAATACGGGATGAATCTGAAAAAGAGTTGTGTGAGCGCTGCGTTCCTGCGGGGTGAGGATGGGGTCACACGACTGAAGAAAATTGAACCCTGGGGAGGGGAGAAGGGAACGGCTTCTCATCCACACAGCCCCCAGCCACACCTTCCTGCACACCCATGGGACACTTAGGCCCATTTCCTCCTAACACTGGTGGCTTTACTGAGATAAACCAACAAAGAACGTGCCTTCTGTTGATCTAACTGAAGCACTATGCCAGCTGGGCAGGGCAGAGGGCTGTGAAGTTGCCCTCAGCTCCCACCGACACAGTGATGCCTGCACTGTGAAACTGTGCTTCAGTTCTGTCACACCTAACTAAGACACTCAGCCATGCAATGCTGAGTCTGGAATGATTTTACCTTCCCAATTTGTCTACAGCTTGCAGGATGCACGTTCACATCCCTCTGCTTTTCCCTCCTACACTGACATGTATAAATGGAACTTTCTCATTTCTCCTCTTTGAACTAAAGAAGTGATTCCATGTTCCCCTTGAGCTGGCAGACATACAACACGCCACCAGCCAGCCACAGGATTTGCCACTTCATCTATTTGAGAAGGCCCTCAGCTACCCCAAGTCCTCCTCCATCATCCCACAGCTCCTTGCAGAGCAGACTTGTAGTTTTCCAGTCCAGGCCGGCACAACTTCAGTTAGATGTGTATGGCATCTAATGAGGAAATGGGCAATTTCCTCATGTGGCTGTTAGCCTCAACCTGTCCCTGCAGCATTCCTGCTACCCCAAAGGAGGAGTTGCTGTGACAGCAGAACCCATCTCCCCGAGCGCTCTCTCCTTACACCATGTTGGCGTTCCACCAGTGGGGGTTCTCCTCCGGCTGTGACGACAGGATCCCCGTTCCTGCAGATGGACACAAAGAGGGAACATTCAGTGACACTGTGAGCTACAGGACGTGGTTTGTGTTAGGGATGGAGCCTGCATAGAGAGCTCCATCCATACAGCTCCTGCAGCACAGAAAGGCCCCATGGCACATAGTAAGCACTTCCCCAGACACCCAATGCCCTCGGGTGAGCGACAGCACATGCACCTGCAAATGGGAGCAGTAGAGGGATGCGATGAGGATGGACTGAGTGCAGTGAGAACGAAGGGAGGCTGGCAATGCTCTGCCAGCCCCAAAGTCCCGCAGCTTCGGGTATCAGTTCAGCTTATGTGTGACATCAAAAAAGCCAAAGGTGCTTTTATGTGCACTGATACACACGGCACTGTGGCGGGCGCTGCGACAGAGCAGGGAAGGGGTGTATTGAGAGAAGCACAAACGCGCTTCCAAACAAACGACCAAACCAAGCTTTAGAAGATCCCGGCGGCTCTGGGATGCATTTACAATAAAGAGGGGGACGCGGACCGGAGATCCGTGAGCAGCGCTGCCCACAGCCGTAACGCAGCTCGCCCACGTGCTCGCCCGCGCCTCCAGGCGGTGCCTCCCGCGGGAAGGAGCAGCCCCGGCGCCGGGCGACGCTCACCCACTCTGGTCGCCGGCCACTCCTTGGAGCTCATCAGCCTCCGCATGGTGTCGTAGCGCGTGTCGCAGTTCTCCCTGTTGAAGCAGTACCAGCCCCCTGCGGGGCACCGCGGGTCACGCCGCGCCGCCCCCGCGCGCAGGCGCGGGCTGCCCGGAGCCGAGGGCAGGCGGCCAGCGCGGGGCCGCCCCGAGCCGCGCCCGGGCGAGGCGGCGCCGGAGGCTCACCTTCCAGGAACAGCAGCCACCGCCGACTGCCCTTCGACTCTTTGAGGTAGTAGCTGCGGACAAACAAACAGGAGGCGGCGCGGCCTTAGCGGGAGCTGCGCCCGACCGCAGCGCTTTGATGCCCGCCCCGCCGGAGCGTCGGCGCTACGCAAAATATTTGCTCAGCGCCGAGGAGAGGCGGCGGGAGCGGAGCCGCGGCGCGGGGCGCGCCAAGACGCTGCGGGCGCGGCCGCCCGGGAGGCGCTGCACCTGTCGCTGCCGGGCCGAGCGCGGCCGCGAGGTGGCGCCACAGCCCTCGGGGCCGCGCCGGGGCCGGGCGGCGGGGAGCGCTCTCCGAGCCGGGGGCTGCGGGGCACCGCGGGACGGCGGCGGGGGCGGCGCGGCGCGGGGACTCACCCGGCCGGGCTGCCGTCGTTGCAGGTGACCGAGGCGTTGTGCAGGAGGTGCAGGCGCAGGTCGTGCGGCAGCGCCTGGGCCGAGCAGGGGTACAGCGACTGCGCCAGGCTCTTGACCTGCGCCATGAAGCTGTCCATGTTGCCCTCCACGGCGGTGAAGTCCAGCGGGAAGCTCTCGGCCGGCGCCGCCGCCGCCGCCGCGGCCGCCGCCTCGCCGCGCTCGCGGGCCGCCGGGCCCCGCCGCCGCCAGCCCTTCCTGCCCTCGCCGCCGGGTCCGGCGTGCAGCAACCCCAGCAGCAGCAGGAGGTGCACGGCCGCCGTGCCCATCGCCGCCCGCCGCCACCCGCCCCGCGCCGCGGCGGCCGCCAGCCCCCGGTGCCGGGCGACGCCGCCCGCGCTCCGCCGCGCCCCGCCGAGCCGTCCGTGGGGCCGGGGGTCGGCGGCGGGCGGCGAGGGCAGCGCCGACGGCGCGGGCTCGGCGGGGCGGCTGCCGGCGCAGGAGCCCGCCGCCCGCTCCCAGGCGGCGAGCATGACAGAGGGGCACGGAGTGCGCGGGGAGCGCGCCGGGGGCGCCGCCAGCCCGGGCGCCGCGTGGGGCAGCAGCCGGCCAGCCCCCGCCCTGCCCTGCCCTCCGCCCCCTCGGAGCGAGGCGGAGGGAGCGGGGGGTCTGCGCCGCGCCCGCCGCACCGGCACGGCGAGCCGCCGCGGCTCCGCAGGGCCGTCCCCCGCGCCGCGCCGCCATCGCCGCCCCTCGGGCCGGCGCCGGGACCGCGGACGGCGGCGCCTCCGGACCTCCTCGCCCGCGGGGCGGCCCTTCGGGCAGGGCCGGGTGCGGGGGCCGGGCCGCTCGGAGGCCCCGACGGCGCAGCGAGGCCCCGCACGTGCCGGCCCCAGCCGTGGCGCCCCCGGCCCGCGCCCCCCGGCCCCCCGCGACCCGGCGGCGGCTCCGCCCCGGCCCCGCGATGTGGTTCTTCCCGCCCCCCGCCCGCGGGAGGAGCCGTCCCCGAGCCGCCCGCGTTCCCGCATCCGCCGCGGCCGCTCCCGGTGCCGGCCCGAGCGGAGCCCGGTCCCGACCTGCGGAGCGCTGGAAGAGCGGGAGGCGGTCGTTTCTCTCGAGAGAACGGCGCTCCGCTCCGTGTATGCGGCCGGAGCGGGCGGCTGCAAGCCGGGGAACAAAGAGGAGCGGAGGGGCCCGGATCTGCTCGGAGGGGACGTTGGGGGGTTGCCCGCAGGGTGCGGGGATCGCTCCATCCCCGCCCTCCCGCCTCGAGACTCCGCAGGAGTTTTCCTGCCGCTCCCCGCAGTTACCTGGATGGGGCGGGGGATCTGCCGGCTGTTCTCCCTGGTTGTTCTGTAGTGTTGTGACATTTTAAAAAAAAATCTGGTCAGAAGGCAATGTTAAGTATCTGTTAGTGGGCTGCCTGTCAACCATAAGAGCAAGGCATGTCCCAAAAATGTAATTATCTCAAAATTCAGCATTACAAACCACGGACACGCAGAGAAAATGCTGCGCTTAGCGCATGTCTGTCTCTAGAGACCAGAAAGGGCAGCTCCTGTGCTTCAGCAGCCCCAGGAGGAGCAGGGCTTGAGGCTGTCCTCATCAGGAAATCTGTCTGGGATCAAAAAGGTGAAAACAGTGGAATCCAGAAGTAGTAAGTGGAGAGGTTTTTTTGCTGGGCACAAATTAAGGCTGTTCATCTGCTGCAGCTTCATTTTTTCCTAAGCCTGCTTGGACTTTTAAAGTGTGTCCTCAGCACTGAGCATCCTACAAGCAAAGCAGGTGCCTTCACAACCTGATCATCACGCTTTGTCTGGTTACTCTTATGACCTCTCAGCCTTTGCTGAGTTGCCCTGTTCCCAGTCTGATTTTTCTTTGTAAATGTTTTCTTTTAGTCAAATCCCGATGGTACCAACAGTACTTCAAGCCAGGAAAGCTGCTGAGCTGAACGTAGCCCTGCACTCAACCCTGATACATTTTTGGGCCCAGCACAGTGCTGCACCATTGCATCCTAACGCAGCGCCATTCCCATCGCTGTGGGGGTTTGTGGGGCTGCAGGGCTGGGCAGCAGCCGGGAGCTGCTGGAACACATCACTCTGTGAGGCCTCCGTGCTCCAGGATCGCCGGCGTGGTTGGCGCAAGCAGCTCCAGGAGCTCATGTCCCAGTAGCTGCGAGGCAATGGGACAGGTAATAGCACTGAGCCTCATCCTCCTTCCTGAGAGAAAAGGATGCCTCCCATCACTCTGACTGGCTCATGTTCTGTTTCTGTGTTCTCTCTCTTTGGGGAGCTCTGGAATTGGGCTCTGCACCAGCTGCCATGCTTGCTGGAGACACTGGGGAGCCTTAGGGCAAAAAGGGGAGTGTGTTCATGTTGCAGATCTCTGGGCTTTTGTCCAAAGAGGTGAAGCAAAGAGGTTCGAATGCCTGTCCTGCCTATACCTGGCTCCCTCCTGCTGTGCTGTTTGCTCAGGTAACTCAGGGCTTTTCTCAGAGCACTCTTATTCATCCTTCCATCACCCGTATGTCCTCTGTCGCAAGGAGCAGGGGCTGTTGGGAGAGCGTGGGGCTCTCAGGGTAAGGGAAGAGCTTCCTTGTGGATGTTTATTGGTACAGTGACACATTGAGTCTGGGGGAACATCCAAGCACACACATTTCAGTTACTGAGTACTGCTTGTCAGCGTGAGAGCTTCACCTTTGATACGAGCCACCCCGTGCTGAGCAGATTGTGTCTGGCATGGCAGGAGGCTCCGTGAGAGCTGTGAAACACCTGCACCACAAGCTGAAGGTGTGGATTTGTTATTGGTAGGAGTAAGGCATGTAGGAGGCCACCAGGAGATTTTTAACCATTGGGAGTAACATAAAGGGAGATGCTTTTTGATTTAGTACCCCTCCAAATGAAATGGCATACGTAATACATTCCAGTATGTCCCAGTACAGTTCAGTACATTGAAGCTCATTGGACCTTGTTGTACTATGGGAAATGAGACAGAAATGAGACAGCTCTGCTCAAGTTCCTCACCTCATTTCCTAAGTCTTGAAGTGACAAAAAGCTGTGATGGTGGAGGAGATACAAATCACCCCCCAGACAGCACTCACCACCAGCTAAAATCCCACTTCTCAAGGTCCCACTGCTTCACCACCATCTCTTCTACCATCGGTGGTAGGAAGGAGAAAGGAGCCTTGGTGGGATGGTGTATCCTGGCCATGCCTACAGTGCAGAGCTCTGTGTGATGCTGTCCTGGGAGCCCCGGGACTCAGCCGGAGGAAATGCTGTACAGAAATCCTCCTTACTGGGATAAGAGACTGTTGTTCTGCATGATATTTTGGTTACAAGGTATTTCTAGATGTTCACAGTTAATTTCTTACCTATTTGAAAGAAAATAAAAAGGTTGTTGGGTATTTTTTGTGTGTGTGTGTTTTCAAGAAATAAAAATTATGCATTATTCCACGTGGCTGTGTGAGACTGAATGCAAACATACACAACTTCAGGAATACGTTTTTAATGCCAAGCACTGCTGGCTGCCTGAAAGGTGACTGTGGGGAAGGATGGTGGCAGAAGGTTGGAGCTTGATATCCTTGAATCCTTCTAACCTAAGCCATTCTATGATTCTTCTACACTCTCTTCACTGTAATCACTCCTGAAAAGCAGTTTTTTGCTGTGCTCCCTGGTAGCACTGCAGGCATCTTCGCCCTGACAGTGGCAGAAGTCTGAATTGTTAAAGATATTTTCAGCTGTTCCCTAATGAGTCCCTCTTTCTTTGTTGCACTTTAATGAGCTCCAGGTTTATTTTCCTCCCCCTCCTTTCTCTCCTGGTGCTTCTAATTTCAGATAAACATTTAAGATTAGAAGCGGCTCAGGATACGTAACATGACTCTTAACCTCTGTGCAACTTTCTGACTCTGACTTGCCATTAAAAGCTTGATCCATCTCTATTCCTGCAACGTGAAGATTTTCAGCTGAAATTACATCCATGGTTTTTTTCTTTTTTAACAGGAACAACTTTTCTGTACGGGTTGTGTCACTTTCAGATGCAAAATAGGAAACAGCTGCCTTTTTCAGACATCAAATAAGAGCCACCCTGCATTCACAAACTATTTTCAGGCTCTGTGAAAACCGAAATGTATCTTTTAAAACTTAATGGTTGCTCTATCTCAGCAGCTGTCATTAACACAGCCATTTTAATTGTTTCTTCATACCTTCTGCGAAGGTATTCACCAATGGAAGGGCAGGGTGCCCTGATCTGTGTTTGATACTTGGATTGCTCCCTTATCATAGAGGCACGTTGTGCTATCTGTTGCCCCATTTGTAGGCATGGTGTGACAATGGGCCTTCCCAACAGGACGGAAAGAACAAAAATCACGAATTAAAGACATTTTTGAATATTAGTTTAAACATTATGTTGTACGCTGCAACATTCTGAACTGCTGTCAGTCTATGGAACAGTCCTGGTGCTGGATTTAGGGAGCTGTGCTCAGCAGCCACAGGACACCTGCATCATTCACTTCCCACTGCCTCATTTCTTCTTTGCTGCACTTAAGAGGAGCGTTATCTTTAACAGCCCTTCCTTAAAAGGGCCTTTTTCTTTTATAAACCAGGCAGAACAGAGCTGTATGGTAACAGCGGGAAAAAGCTTCAGCTAAAGCAATTCCAGCGGCTGACCCTAGCCAAGATAGGAGCAACCGAAGCACCGTGAGGAGCCGACATCGGGAGCGCGTTCAGCACACGGAGGCGGTGCTGCGAGCGCAGGGAAGCTCTGAGGACACACGCAGTGACGGATCCCGGTTCGCTCCGCTCCTCCCGTCACACATCTCACCGAACGGCCGAGCTCGTAGCGCTGCCGGCAGAGCAGAGGTTCGGGAGCAGCGTCGTCCTTTCCGCGCCGTCGCACGGGGAGCCGCGGAGCGCGGGGACGGCGGTGCCGCCGGGCACAGGAGGGGCCGAGCCCGGAGCCACGCGCTGCCTGGCTTCTCCTTCGAGCTCGTCCTCTCGGCCGAGGAAGCGCCGTCCGCCCGCCGCAGGCCCCGCTCGTACCGGGGGGCGGAGAGGGGCGGGCGCAGCGCGGCTCCTCCCCGGGAGGGAAGATGGCGGCGGCGGGCGGGGGGGCCGCCGCGGTGTCGGTGTTGGCCCCCAGCGGGCGGCGGGTCACGGTGCGGGTGGGGCCCGGCACGGTGCTGCTCCAGGTGGGTCCGGGTTGGGGGCGGTGCGCGGCGGGCGGGCCGCGCTCGGAACCGGGTCCCGACATCTCCGTTCTCTCCGCAGATCCTCGAGGAGGTGTGCAGGAAGCAGGGCGGCAGTCCCGCCGAGTACGGCCTGAAGTGAGTCCCCGCGCGGGGTCGGCAGCGCCGCTTCGGCTCCCGGCCGGGTCGAGGCCCGCGCGCGGCTCCGGGCTCTGCGCTGTTCTCCGTGCCGCCCTCGGCCCCGAGGGCTTCTCGCCGCCGCCCCGCTCGGCCCGGAAGGCCGCATGGAGCAGGCCGTAACCCGGAGCTGCTCGCTGAGCCGCGATCTGGTTTTACTCGTTGCCACGGCAGTGCGAGGTGCTGTGTGGGGATGCACCAGGAAGCGGCCCGCAGTTAGCACTGGGGAGAGAGTGCAGCACATACAGCACAGCTCTGGTGATGCTCCAGAAAGTTGTTTTCTTCACATTAATCTCAGTGTGTTTTCCAGCGTCAAAGTCCATTCACTTTTGAGGCAGATACTGAAATCCTTCCATAAAAACGTGCCCCTGCTTCTCCCCCTCATGTGCTTTCTCTAGTTCACTGCAGGACCCCTCTGTTGCCTGCTGTTCTGACTGCCTGCCTTTACAGTGAGAAAGCCAGCAGTTTGCCAGTCTGACTGGCAGCAGCATGCCTTGTTATCATTGGATCAGTGTGATTTGGTTGATGTTTCTCTGACATTTCTCTCATCAGAGCATTGGGGATTTTATTTGTGACTTCTACAAATCGTAGTTTTTGATATGCTGCGTCATCACACTGTATGGCTGACAGCCTGCCCAGAGGCTATGGAGGATGTTAGGTCACTAAAATGATGTGACAGTGGTCTGTGATGGTTCCTGATGTCTTCACCTGTTGTATTTTTCTTTAGGTTTCAGAGAAGTGTGTTGGATCTCACTTTACAGTGGAGATTTGCCAGACTGCCCAACAATGCCAAGCTGGAGATGGTGCCAGTCTCTTGTAATAGAGCGGGAATTGGAAACACGGTATGTTCATTACAAAGAGTGACCTGATTTGTTTTATTTTCAGTCCTGCTGGATGTGATCCTGTCAGATCTAATGAGCAGGAGCGTGTTTAGGCTTGGGCAGAGCTCGAGTGAAGGGCCACCCAAAGAATAGTGGAGGTGTGATGGAAAGTAGTTTGGTAACTGGAAGTCTTCGCTTACGGTCCGTATGGTCATGGAGGGTAGGAAGGTTCTTTTGAAGAGCTGAAGAACCTAGCAGTCTTAAATATATATGACCTTAAAGATTGCCGATGGCTTTGCTCAAAAGCTGAGTTAGTTCTCTTTCCCAGTTTCTATTTCAGTTACTGTAGTTTGCCTCCGTGTTTCAACTAAAATCTCAGTTTTCAACAGGATTCACAGTGTATTCGCACAGCTTTATCACTTTCTCTGACATGCTGTGTCTAGCAGTGGCCTTATTTATTATTGCTGGCAGAGGGCTTATGGGTGCTTTGTTCTGTAGGAGTTATTGTCATCTTCAGGAGACAAATCTTTTTATGCTTGTCATTCTAACGGCTCGAGGCACAACTTAATGGATATGTGTTACTGAGCATAAACATTTTATGTGGTAAAATCTTATTTAAGCAGTCTGGAAGTGAAAATTTGTCTATTGCTTAAAGTCATCTCTTTTTTTTTTTTTTTTTTTTTTTCTTTTCTTTTCTGATGTGCTTAATAAGGAGCTTCTCAGATTTTGTGTAAATCTTCACATCTGTTGATCTCTTAATGTCTACCTGCCAAATTGTGATAGTGGTATTTTGTTGTAGGTAATTACTTTGGCTGTCACATCAATAAACTCATGCATACATTGAAATTTGAACATTGTTTTATTAGAAGGTTTGGGCTCTCCACTCTGGTTTGCTGTGGGTGTGTTTTGTAGCTTTGGATATCACTAACGTTCACGTTTAGCTTTAAAACTTCCATATGCTTTGTTCTGGTGCTGACGTTTCCTTTCTGACTCTGTGATAAAGAATTGTCTGCTCAAAATGACATCATTTAAAAGACAGAGCAAAACCAAAATACAATCTGGGAGCACACGCTGCAATTTTCAGTTAAAGTTATGATGGCATGAAGTAGTTCTTCCACATGAAAGCAGTTCTGTCAGAATGGTACAGTGATGACTGCCTGAGCTTTGAATCTTGTTTGAGAGACGTTGTACTGAGGGGAAAAACGGTTTTATCTAAAGAAGATGGATGGAGCCCATCAGAGCCTACCAGAAAGGTTGAGAACTGTGTACTGTGGGAGAAGGGTTATAAGGTGGGCTCGCAGACTTTGATTGTTGTTAAAGCTAATTAAAATTGTTGTTTAGTTGTATTTCAACAAAATAATCTACAGGATTAAGAGTTCTCATAGAGTGCTTGTTGGTGTTTGAAGGAGTTGAGAAGGCAGAGCAAGCATGCTTGCATATGGTGCAGTCTGAACAGAGTTGCTGTCCCATAAACTAAGAGCAGACACTTCACTAGAAATAGTTTTGTGGGCAATATAAGAAAATACTTTGTAGAAATAAATACAGTTGTCCAAAAGAATTCCTTGCCACTGAGAAAGAGTGTCACGTTCTGTAGGAAATGTAAAACAACTGGGCAGTTCTAGGGATTGAACTGATGCTGTACTAACGTGGTGGCTGTGGAGATGTGAACTTGATCACACAGCTTGGTTAAGGCAATGTTGGGGTGAATCTGATTCTGTGCCCTTGGTTATTGAGCAAATTCTCCCTGTGATGGCAGGTGGTCTGGGGGCACACTCAGCACAGTTCTGCTGATAAAGTTATTGTTCTTTTGCTTATCTGCCTGTAAACTTAGAGATGATGGGGCCCTGGGCAGCCTGGTTTAGCATTAAACGTGGAGGTTGGTGGCCCTGCATGTGGCAGGGGGGTTGGAGATTCATGATCCTTGAGGTCCCTTCCAACCCTGGCCATTCTGTGATTCTGTGATACCAGTGCCTGGTATAATAGTCTTCAACTATTTTACATGGAGACTGGGAATTTTTAAAAGACTTTCCCAATTGACTGACTGTGACTTTCTTGACATACTTAGCTTTGAACTGTTGCCCAAGAGACTGATGCAACTGGCAGCCTGTATTTCAGGGCCGGATTGTGGTAGAATGGTGATGTCTGTAGCTGAGGGGTAATCTCAGGTTTGTCTTCAGCATGGAAGAAACCAGGAGGTCGTGTTAATGGTGGGCTGAAACTATTGCTTTCTGTTAGCTGGTTGTTGGTGATGCCACCGTGATTCCCATCTCCAGCAGATCAAAATCAGCAGTCCTGCCAGGCCTGGTGGGAGCTGCAGCAGGTGGTAAACACACTCTTCCAAAGAGATTGCAGTATATGGTGTAATTGTTTGGCTGCTAAGCCTTTTCCTTGAGGCTGTTCCTCAGCTTATTCATTTTGGAAGTGCCCTTTATTGATTTTCCAGTAGAAGTTTTCTGTAGATTATAAAGGATGCTTCATGAGCTAATAAGTGTAGATGTTCACGTTCCAGGTTGGAAAACACCTGTTCCTTTTTTTCGTCTAATGCCACGTGCAAGTATTTAAGAGCTTGAAATTGTGCATTAAAATTTGGTGGTTAGGAAGCCTTTGTGAGTTGCAAGTTGCATGGATTGTCTTTTAGACTTGGCAATAGTTGGTTTGGTCTCCAGTGACTTAAGAAAGACAATGTTGAACTATGCTTGTTGTTCCTATGTGTAAATGTGCAAGTGATGTTATTTGTTAGGCTTTGGGAAGGCTTTTTGCATGCTGGTGCTTGAGTCAACAGAGCTTTGTGCTGTGTGGGTATCACAACTTGTGCAGCTGCATCAGTTCTGTCCGAGCCATTGGAATTCTTTTAATAGAGCTATGGAGCTTCTTGCTGTACAGTTTCAGCTAGTGTGAAACAGAGCATTTCAGCTCTTGTGGCATGCATGTCATCTGGGACTCTTGCATCCTTTCTCTGTCAGTGTTTCAGTTCATGGGGATACATTGTTCCAATCAGAACCCCCTAACAAACAGATCTGTTACCCCAGAGTTGATATTTTTCCACTGCCTTTCACTGCACTGTTAGAACAGTTATGAGCTGAGCAGTGCTGGGAAAGTGAGCATTGAGAGGAGCAGATCTTGGGCTGTGGTACAGAGACTAAGGCTGAATTTGCCTCTTGCACTGAACGTGTTCTCTGCAGAGCTCCCTTGTAACCGTGACCCCGTCAGCTGCTTTCAGTGCTGTTGAATGCTTCTGTCAAAGTCTCCTCTTTTGGCTTCTCTTCTCACTTTTTCCTGTTCAGCTCCCTCCAATTGCTTGTTCCAAAGGTCCTCCGTATTCCATTTCACTTCCTCCAGGCTTTGGCTTGAGCTCCTTCTCTCTCCCCTCTGCCTGCACCTTCTGGCTCTAGCTGGCACACACGCTTCCTTCAGAGTCATTTCTTTTTGACTCTGAGTAGATATGCAGACGTGGTGGTGAGGATCAACTGCAGTGAACTCATAGCTGTGCAAACATTGCAATATTTGGAAAACAGTGTGACTTCTCTTTTTTCCATCCTCTGTTTCAAAAGGAGATTTTATTTTTAAAAAGAGCTCCATTTTTTTTTTTTCCTAATTTTCACTGTCACCGTAGGGTTATTGGAAAGTCAGGAATATTCATTGTGTAAGAACATTTCATAACAAATGAATGTCCTCTAGAGTTCTTGACAATATTTCATGGAGAAGCAAAGTCTGGAGTCCAGAGAAGTCCTTGCAGAATGATGCTGGTCGGGCTGGTGGATGTCTGGATGACAGAATCAGATCTATTGTCCTGCTGTTTCTGTAGACAGAGGTAGTAACAATAGCTGGTGTCATGCTGTGCGTTCTTACTGTGTGAGAATGCACTACAGGTTGTGCAGCTGAGAGATTCATGTCAGATTATTTTAATGGTAATTTACTGGCAGCACTGTGTGCACTGTGAGCTTGGACACTGAAAGCAAAGCTGTTAATTGCATTTCAGCAAATCTTTCCAAACTGAGGTCATGTGGTCATGTTAAATTTTCAGTGATGTGAGAAGATGCTGCGGTGCTAATGGATCACCCAGGGGAATCTATTTGCTGGAGAACTGAAACTATAGTATTTGTACCAGAATAATTTGTTACAGATATTAACTTCGAAGATATTTGAATCAACATTTGTATCTAATGCAATCGCTAGCAGCAAGTGCTTAGAAGGAAGTTGCATTTTTTTGGATAGCAATGATTCTAGAGATTGAAATGGCGAAGAAAGTTGCAAAGAAAAGGGTTTGCATTCAGTATTTATAATTCAGCATGTTTTTCTGTAGGTTCGGATTGCACTGCAGTTAGATGATGGCTCCCGTTTGCAAGATACCTTTCTCTGTCAGCAGACCTTGTGGGAACTTCTGAACCATTTTGCAAAGACCAGGTGAGCAATGCAGTGAAAAAAAAAAGCGTGTTTGAATCGATGTCTGTGTGACAGTCTGTAGGTGCAGTTACAGAGCTTTCTGCTTTAACACCAAGTAAGCAGCTGCTGGCTCTCTTCCCTTCGGTCCCCAGTGGGATGGAGGAAGAGAATTGGAAGGGAGGAGGTTAGAAAGTTTATGATTTGAGATAAATGCAGTTTAATAAGTAAAAAACAAAACAAAATTAACACACTCTTGCTTCACCTGGTAGAAGGGATTCTTAAGCAGGTTGCTGTTGTTTTTGGGACTTGTTGTCATGCAGATCTTCAAGGAAATCTGGAGCTCTCAGCAAGCAACATGGAACCTTCAGAAGACTGATTAAATCCTATCTAAATGGAAGAAAATCTGGTCTTACATTTATGAAATATATACATGAGTTAGAAATCTTACTGTTTGAGTCCAGTTTTAATTGAGTGCTTTCTTTTGTCTTTAGTTTTGACTTAAAGATGCTGTATTGTTTCAAGATGTCAAGCTAATAAACTTTTCTCTACAGACAGTTCTTTTTTTTGTGGCTTGGACGATGTGGCAACCATTCTATTCCAAACAGAATTTCCAAATCTAGGTTATTTTTTTCTATTGTAGTTGGATTTACCTTTCTCTTGATAATGTGGCACTTGAGAACCTGTATTTCTGTCTTGTTCTTCCTCTTGCATTCCCTGCCTTCTGCCAGTTGCTCTTGGCTTTTTCTAATGTAACTGGAGAACTTCTTGCTTCTGTTGCCTATTAATTTCTTGCTCCTCTGAACAGATGCTGTATTACAGTATTGTGCAAGCAGGAAGTATTTTTTGCTAATTTCTCAGAATGCTCAAACATTGATCAATCTGAGGAGGTGGTGGCCTTCTGTCTGCAGTGTTCTTATGTCTCTGAGGCTGCAGTGCTCGAAAAGCTGCAGAGTGAGTGGTCACTGGGAAAGGAAGGGGGATGAAGAAGTTGCTTTCAGTGAAGCTCAGCCTTTCAGCAGAGGCTTAGAGGATGCTAAGTGATGGATTGCCACGCACACTGAGTTGTAGCAGTTACCCAATGGCAAAATGGCACTGGTTGGCATTAGCCTAATGTGTACCTGCAGGAACAACTTTAGCTGAAGTTTAAAGTCCCTTATTCTGAACTGCTCGTGAAATAACTGAAGAAACAGAGTTCTGGAGTTGAACTGGCCAACCTTACCTCAGTATGTCAGGTAGTACAGTTGGACTGTGTGGCTTGAGTTGCTCTGGAGCTGTTGCAGGGTAAAAGAAGTAATTCTTTGGACCTCCCAGTGATGTGCTGTTCGTTTTCTGTCAGCTTAGCTCCTGCACTGCCCCACAGGAAGATCAAATGAGGACCTGGTGTTGGCCCGAGGGAGGGAGATGGGATCACAGGGTCCATCAGAAACATCACCACAGTAGTTACTGCTTATTTCCTGCACTTCCATCTAACTCTCCCTAACTCTCCTCGTAGTATTTGTGCAGCTTTGTGGGGATATGTGGTGGATTCAGCTGAAAAACAGTGGTTTCCTTAGGTCAGTTTCCCAATCCAGTTAAGAGCTGTCTCACATTTGGTTACGACAAGAAGTGTAACGTGTCAGAAATAAAGATCCAAAGGGGGAAACAGATGGGTAGGAATGGTTTATGTCAGGTTTTCTACTCAGCATTTTGTATCACCAAACAATAGTTTGAGGAAATGCTTGAGGTAGTCTAAAGTGGTACAAGTGAGTCTTATTCTTCTCACTAATGGTGAGATCTACTGTCTGGCATTTACTCTTAAGTCAAAAGGGACAGTCTGCATATAAATGGCCAGACAGAAAATAATTATTTTTATTTTCTAGTAGAAGAAAGAAACAAGCAAGAGAGAAGCAAAGGCCAGGTGTTCTGGGTATTTGAAGGCCTCTCTTGAACCTTACCACATCCTTGGTGCCTCTTGGAGGAGAGGAGTGCCTGTTGCAGTTCAGGAGCTGCCAGATTGGTGGAGGTTTTATTTGTTACAGGTTGTTGTAACACTAGTAGTTAATATGCATAGTGCTTTTTTTAAGGTTATAGCTACCACTCTATTCTAAGTATACAGTATTCTAACTTCAGTTCGTGAGGCTCAGCTGTTCCCTTCTGCCCTGTGGAAGCTGAGCTCAGAGGCTGGGGTGGACTTTGTAGACTTGTGACTGAACTCAAAAAGCAGCAAAGATGGTGAGTGTGACGACAAGCTGGATCTGCAGCCATACACTCAGATTCTGTGGGCTGTGCTGTTTTCCAGTGTGCGCTGACGCAGTTGACTGGTTAGTAACCAGTCAACTAATTGGTGACTTCTGCTGAATCTTCCCTTCCAGTTTCCAAGTGGAGACGTTTTCCTGGAATGCTCAGCCGCTGTAAGTGCGTGAGGGGAAGTATTCTAAATCCACTGGAATTTCCCCCAGGTCTCCAGCATCCATCTTGGCTAATTGGGTCTGAAGAAGGTCTGGAAGCTATTGTCAGGCTGCTCCTCCTCTCAGCATGCGGCAGTCCTTGCACAAGATGTTTACAGGCCCTGTCAGATCACTACATGGAGGAATCTAATCTGCTTGCCGTTCCCCTTCTAAAGAGCAGCACATCAAAGAAATGACAATGTGTTTGATGTATGTGCTTGCCTCAGTGAATGAATGTAATGGATTAACAGCAGCTGGAGGAGGAGCCTGCTGGCTTACCAGAGTTATACGAAAATAAGTCTCCCTGGGATCTTTGCGTGGAGTCTGTTCTTCAGAGGCCGTTTGAAGGACAAGTGGTGGATGCCCTTTTAGCATCAGGCCTGGGAGAGCTGTTGCTTTGCAGTCTCCCACTCTTGCCCCTGTGACAGCTTCAGTAGCTGTGTAGATTGTTTTACATGGAAGTGATTGCAGTCTGGATGCTTGAAGGCCATTCTGACAATGACTGTGACTCTGCTACCTTTGTGGTAGGGAATTCATTCAGTTCAGATATTTTTTCACACATTTTAGAAGGCTGTTCAATCAAAGGATTCCTTGGATTGAAGTGGAAAGAAATTTTGGAAAGGTGAATGGAAGTAGGTTGTGTAAGTCAAATTAGTTTCCTCTCTTCTTGGACTGTTTGGTGAATGTGTATTCCATTGCATCCTAGCTTCTAGCATCCTAAATAGTGATCATCAGCATTTTCTGACAGATGACCTCAGGTTTATGTTTTTATTCCCCTGAGCTGTTTTTATCTGCCATTTTCTGTGGCTCCAGAGAGAAACTGCAGCCTATAAAGTCTGCACTGTTTCCTCCATATCTCAGCAGCCCTTTTTTTATTTTTATGCATTTTGATGAGGGCTTTCAGTAGGGATACAGGTGATCTTGGTTGGAAGCAAAAATGTTAAAAGCAAACTGAAGATCACTGTCTGTTCTGGGTCGCTTGGAAAAGTCTGAGCATGCACAGCCTGTGAGGTTGTGCTGACAGTCTCTTATGTGCTATTTTGTTCCAAACTTCCAATCAGGAGACAAATTGTGGGGTTGGTTGCGTTGTTTTTTGCCTTAAATCATCAAGGTTTGCATTTCATACCAGAGTGTAAGCAGAGCCCACCCTTTATTGCAGACTTGCTTCCCCCCACCATGGGATTGGGAAGAGGCAAAGTGACAGCTGCAGAATGCCTCTTGAGACCAGCCTTACTCTGAGGTTTCTGACAGCTTGAGTGTGTCCTGGATGCTGATGCTTTGCTGCCATTGCTTCAAATACTCCAGCAGCTGCAGTATTTATAAACACAACTGCAAATAGGGTCTTCCTGGTATATGGGAAAATGCCTGCAGTAATGGAAGCAGCTTCCCTTCCAACACTGGTGGTGATTGCAGTGCCTCCAGTGTCTGAGTTGCAGCAGAAAAAGGGTCACATAGGAATAGTCATATTGGAGCAGAAAGCTGTTCGTCTGCTGCAGATTGTTTCCTGCAGAGCATCGTGTATGGCTTTTTGTCTTTGGCTGAATATAAGTGATTGCAGAACTGCATGTGGTTGCAACCTATTTTAGGTTGTTTTGGTGTTGTTTCTTTTTTTTTCCTTTGAACGAGAAACTTAATTGTTTTTCATAAGCTGAAGCTGGGCTGTAATTAGGATGCTGTGGGCATGGCTGTCACCTACTTCTTGCATGATGGCATTTGGTACGTTGGCTGGGAGAAGTGTGTTTTCCTTTCCCTCCCCCCTCAAAAAAGAAGAGGTACCTCGGTACTGTCAACCCATTCAGATCTGTTGCAGTGGATCTGATAGCAGTTCTCAGCCCCTCACATCCCTGAACAGAACTCGTATCCCAGCGCTGGTTTTAAGTGTTGCTGTCTATGGATTTGTTGGGTATAGCAAGTGGGGCTCATCAGTTTGGTAGCAACTCGCCTTATCCTGTATCACCATGCTGCTGCACGCTTTATTTGGAAAGGTTTAAACCTGTAGATCGAGGCTGGAGATAGGCAGCTACAATTAAAGCAAACAGAAATCTGAATTCTGGTCGGTTCTTAACTGGTTTGCTCCCCCACATCCTCCATCTGGAACTCTTTGATGTGCTCTTGCTCTTGAGGATTACACAAGCATTGAGTACTGTCGGTTCTCAAATGGCACTCCCAATTCTGAGTGACTCCTCCTTGCAGCTACTCTGCTTGCATTTCTCTGAAGCTGTGTTTTGAGTCCTAAATGTGAGTGTCCGTGGTGAATTTTCCCACAGTTTAATGCCCATTTCCCCCTTGTTCTTTTCTGCTCTGTAGACTGGCTGACTCCTTCCCTGTTCCATTTGTTTTGTCACTTTGTACCAGAGTAAATAAATTCATATTTGGCAAAACATTGATTACATATGTATTCTTCTAAGCTGCTAAACTGTGATGTATTTTTGGACACAACAGAGAGACTACAAAGACATTGACAGAGTTATTGGTGTTCTGTTACTCCTGTTGAGCATTATGATGACACTTAAGGTTATTGGAATCGCTGCACTGCAAACAGGATGTTGCATTTGGGTACACAGACTCATCTCCTACTGTGCACAGATAAGGTGCTCCTCAGTGAAGCTGAGAGATGCCTCCAAACAGGACATGTGGGAACAGAAAGTCAAGAAGTAATGGTGTGAAATGATTCTCTACAGTGCAAGGGAGGAGTCTAACCAGTCAGCCACCGTGATCACACAGCGTACATCAGAATGGCAGCCTGCACCCTCCTAACTGTATGCTGGGCCAAAGCAGTTCTGGTGCTGGAGGTTAGCACCTGCCATGATTCTTTCTTAGCTTGAATGCTGAGACTGCTGGAACCAAACTTGGTTCCCATAGTTAAGCACTAAGACTCTTGCTAGCTGTCTGACCAAAATTCTGGTCAAGTGACTTATTCAGGTTTACAATGGAAGCTTCTCCAGAAATGAAAGGTGCAGAAAGCGTGTGACAGTTATCGCAGTAGAATTGAAAGAGGCTTTTTTTTTTTTCTTTTTCCATTAATTAACTCTACACTGATACAGAATAATGATTTCTGATAGGATTCTGAGTAATATCCTGAATATATACCTTCACATTTTGTAGTCCAGGAGCACGCATGATTCTGCATGCTGTGGGCACTACTGAGCACATGAATAATCTTGGATGAGTGAGAGCTGAGACTTGCTGTGATGGACAATGATTGTCTTTTTCTTTTCCATCTTCTATATTCATTTCCATCTTCTACGTGGTCAAATGAATATGTAATAAAGATTCTACTTGGTTTTCTCAGAACTGCTTATTGTGAGAAAAATGGGAAAAGAAGCATCTTTTAAGAGTAGCATGTTGGGGCTGTCATCTCAGCCTTGAGCTATTTTTTCCTCTCCTGTATGCTATGAATCATTCACTGAGGTCTTCTGCAGATGGCCTGTCATTGCCTCGCATCATTGCCTTGTTGGAATGCTTACCTGTGGGCTTATCTTCACCTTTTTTTTCCTACTACAGCAGCCTTTTCTTTGGCTTTGTTTTGTCCCCAGTCTCCATAATCTAAAAGCCTGTGCTGTTTTTAAATCTCTCTGACACTGGGACAGACCAGCTCTTTGTCCTTACCTCGTTAGGTTAGGTTGTGGTTGGACTTGATGGTCTTGAAGGTCATTTCCAGCCTGAGTAGTTCTATGATTCTATGATTGTGTTCATTTGTTTTAGAGAACTATTTCATTCTGTTTGTTGCTGTGCATACAAGGAAAGAAACTGACCATTCCTTAAAGAAAATATAGTCTGTACCATCGCCAGCTATTGAACTTAAAACAATACTTGGGTGTCTTCGACTCTTCTGTGTGGTGTTATGGACTGGTCAGTGAAGCACACCAAGAATGATGTTGAATTTGTCAAGTAGGATGAATTTATTTCAAGATTAGCTGGAATTATTTCCTTGTTTTTGAACTTTGATGGTTGTGTTTAAAGAGCAGTGAATATGTTGGAATGCATTCTTAATGTCTAATACTGATTCTGTGAGCTGTGTAGTGGCCGTTGATGGAGTAACAGGGAGAAGAGAGTGTTTCTAGCTGATTTCACTATTTCTCTACCTTGGTTTTGGAAGGAATAGACTGCTCTACAAATGCTACAGTGTTTTGTTCTTTATTGCAGGGAGTTTCTGGAACAGCATGGTGAATTCTGCCCGGTCTGTATTTACATGCGAGATGAGGTAAGGCAGCAAAGCCCTCTTAACTGTCTTCTGCCTCTAAAATATAAGGAAAACTTAGCCCTGCTTTCCAACCTGGAAAGTGTTTCTTTTGAACTTTCTTGAGAGGGGAAGTAGAAAAATGTTGGTCTTTTCAAAGCCTGACAAGTCTGTATGGAAAAAAGTTCTCTTGGAACATAACCCTGGGCCGGTTAGACCTCTGAGCCCATAAAATGAGCTCAGTGACCTGTTTGTGTTTTTCTTTCCAACATCTTTTAAAGCTCGAGTCAAAACAGTGGTTTCATTTTAATAAATATTTGCTTTTCTCCCTGTTTTGATCTTTTGCTATTAATGTTTTGTTTAAAATCTTGTATGTGTGTATTATGGAATTTGCTCTCCCTAGCAGTCCCCTTTACTTCCCACTGACCTCTGTGGACATATTGTCTTTATTCTAGAACAGGTCATTACAAGCAGATGGGAGGTGTGTGCAATGAAATCAGCCATCTCCTAGCTCAGAGATATTGCCTGGTTTAACTACCGACATAAAAATCATGCTTTGCTGTGGCTGGATCAGGTTTGATTGTATGCGTGGGACAGAAACACGCATCTTCTTTTCTATGAGGATAATTTAATAGTGAATTTGTTAAAGCAACGCAGGTGAATACAGATGGATTCGGGTTTCATTTCTAACTGTGGAGTGTTTTGAGTTGTTTCTGGTGCTATGTGGTGGTTGTTTTAATGCAGACTCCTTTCTACAGCAAACTCTTCACATACTCTCAGGTAGGCAGTTGCTGTAATTTCTCCTCTGTTTGTTACAGATCTCAGGAAAAGATGCACTAGAGAAGACAACGCTGAAGTCACTTGGTCTGACAGGAGGCAGTGCTATTGTCAGGTTGGGAGGAGCAAGTTTGAGCTCCTTGTTTTGTATTTTCACTCCAGTGAAATTGTTTTGTCCAAGTATCAGGGAAAGAAGCACGAAAAAATGTTAAAAAAGACAAACATCACTGTGCTCAGTAATTACTGTATTTGCCTGTTTATCTGAAACTGCTGCCCAGATGTGCTTCCCACAGCTGCAGATGCTGGCGCCGACCAGTTGTACGGATTAAAGGGGCTTGTTTGCCTCTTGGTTTTTTCTTTTTGTCTTTTTGTTGTGTGTTTTTTTCTTTTCTTTTCTATCCCCCCCCCCCCCCCCCCCCTCTAATTTTCTGCCTTTATTTATTTGTTATTTTAAGCTCTCAAACTCTGCAGTGCCTCCTGCTGACTTCCTGGTTTGATAAGGTGGGAGTCAGTGATTGTGCAATCATCAACCTAGTTCCTTCCATTCCTTATAGTGTGGATGGAAGGCAGAAATGATTAAAAACTGTGCTTTACATTGGACTACTGTTTTTTTTTTTTCTTCTTTAAGGTAATTTTATTTTCTTCCTGTGGAGAGAGTAGATCCTGTTCTGTTTTTACCCCCTTCCGAATTTCAGAGCAGTCAGAATAAGCGAATTATTAAAATATAGTCTAGCCAACTCCATTGCATCTTGGTCATGTTGAGAATAGGAAGGACAGTACTGTCACTAAAAATGATTTTTTGGTGTGTGTGTCATCTTTTAAGGGTTGTCATGAAGAAATGCAGTTCATCTGGTCAGGAGGAAGCAGTGGATGCCACAGCACAGTGTGATGAGCCAGTAGTAAGGCCCAGCTCTACTGAAGGAGCAGTGGATGTGCCCCTACCTCAGACACAGACATTCCCTGCAGTCTTGGATCACAGGGATGAGGCCTTGTCTATAAACAACTGCACGGACGAGCAAGACTCTGTTAGAGAATCCAATGCCAGCTTGGAGGAGCCGTGTCCTCCCTCAGAGTCCAAGTCTACCCCGTTTGTCCCTTTTTTTGGAGGTGGGCAACGTCTGGGGGACTCTTCTGTGTCTGCACCACCTCTCGAGTTAGATATGCCATCTTCAGAGCTGCCAACAACTTTCTCTAGCCCTGGAGGCCCTTCTAAGCCAAAGAAGTCTAAGAACAGCCAAGAACTGCAGAAGGAACAAGAGCAGGTAAAATAATTTGTTTGTGGTCCGTCTTTGTATTTTCCCTTGCCCTTAGCTGTGCTCCTGAGAGGGGAAAGATGTTTTAATATTTGTGTTAGATGCCATGATGTCATACATAGAGTTCTGCCAAGAAAGTGCTGCGTTTTTACTATAGGACTTAGGAAGGCTGGATGTTTATGAGTTTACATGCTGTCCAGAAGTAAGAAAAGCTTTGAACCTTGAAATATTTTTAAAATGATTGGTTGTAATGGAGGCAAGTGCATTAGGAACGTGGTCCAGAAGCACTTTTATTTCTGCCTTAAATTTAATAAAAAGCTAAATTTCTTTAACAAATGCCTGCTGTCACCTGAGCCCTGTTTGTCTGCTCTCTCCTGTGTAGTTTTACTACAGATGAACAGAATTTGGCAAGGCTTGTATTTTGTAATTCTCTGGAGATGCTTATTGCTGCATGTGGCTGACTTACCTTCTGTGTATCGGCCAGATACACACCTGGTACATCTTCCCATACTGAAAGGGATTCCCTTTCTACTCATTATATGTCCATGTCCTAGGAGTGGAATTAGTCTTAACAAGTATGTTGCAACTTGATTTCATGCCTATCTGTGCTTCTAAGGTCTGAGAAGACTGTGTTCTTCAGTCTTAAGTTGTAAGGCATGAAACACTGAACTCCATAGTGATGCGATTGTAAAAGCAGTATCCCATGCTGGTGGTGGTGAATATCTGCTTCCTCAGGTCTTCTGTCTGTAGTCACTCTGGCTTGCAGTTTCTGCTGATGACGTGGTAAATTGTAAGGGCCACAGATACAGGAAAGGAAGTTTTCAGTTACAGTTGCATCAGTCTTGCTGAACTGTAAATATTTGAAAAATGAGGTCTGGACCTCTTCCATTCAGTCTTCCTTATAGAGGTGTATTCTGTCTTGCTTTAAAATATCCTGTTTCTTCAATAAACCCTGCCTCTCATTAACTCTTTTTCCACAAATACAAATTGTGCATCTATCTGTGTTCTTGGTGTCTCTGAATTAAAAATATGTGAGTTAAAAATAGAAGTGCTGTAACCCATACAGCGATACCAAAACTGATGACTGAAGGATGCAACGTCGTCATTACGGGATGATCTCTGAATAATGTCAACTTTACTTTCTGTAGGGCAGCAATGCAGGATTGGGTGCTTTCAGAAAGGTTGGGTACGTCTGATAAGAAGCCTAGTATGAGAGGTGTCAGCAGTATTTCCATGTTAAGTTATGAAGTTGTGTGTTGGGAGTTTCATGCCCCTGCTTCTCTGTGACCGGCTCCTTCCTTTGTCCCTTCACTCCACATGTCATCAGGATGGCTGGATTTAATCTTCAGAGGTCTCCTTTGTTGTTTCCCAGTTTTTAGTACCTCTTAGAGTTGGAGTTCGGTGTTTATCTTTAGCTCCTAACCAGCCAAGGGATTAAACAAAGGAAAGCCATATGTAGGAAGAAAAGACGCCTGATGCTGTTCCAAGGGAGCTCAATCCAGGAAGAATTTAACAAGGCTATGCGTATGCCCTCACACTGATGGAGAGATTCTACCTTGGTTGACTTCTTTGTGGTTGCAGTCCGTTCTTGATGAATTTCAGAGTTGTTTAGGAGAAGCCAGACCCTGGAAGGACCCTGGAGCAGTTACAAATGTAGCAGGAAGAAGCCTTGCCAACCCAGTGGTGAATGTTTTAGTATATTAGAAACATGTTTGGATCTTTTTAATCAGTGTTATTTAACCTTTTGGAACGGGCTCTGAGCACAGAGGGCTAAACAGTAGGCCGTGCAATTTATCCAGTGTAATGCATTGCTTGCTTCAGTGACACTCTCACCTATGAGGGATTCGGAAAGGAGGAGTTTCAGTTGTATCTGAAAAGGAAGGAAAAGCACGAGGGTTTGCTGCTCTTCTCCATCTGCAGTCTGCGCTTCTCCGCATGCTGACTGGAGAGACAGAGCTAATTTTGTAATTTTACTGGCTGCAGCTTAATGGGAAGCTGTGCTGATGGGCACAGAGCTGTGCTGCAGTGGCCTGGGGACTCTGGTGTGCAATCCAGAATCTTGTTCAGAAGTGCAGTCCAGTTCAATCCACTCGGAGGCACTTTGGGAACTGGCTTCCCCTCCAGTTTGAGAGCAGCCCTGGGAGCAGCTGCAGATTCTGTTGGGGGGGGCTCTGCCCTTGTGTTAAACAGCATGTGATTTTTGACTGCTGTTTTCAAGCCCTTTGATCTCTGGTGCTTTTGCAGCTGATTGATTACATTTTGTTCCTCCTCCATTCCTGCCATCCTCTGCTCTCAGCAGCAACAGCAGAGCGGAGCTAGCCACATGGCATCTGCTTTTTGTCCCTTTTCAATCCTGAGGGGGGGAAAAAACAAAACAAAACAAAACAAATTATTTTTAAACATCAAAGGTCCATTTTTGTAAAAGAATCTTCCCATTAATGCTTTGCCTGTGTGTGGTTTTTGGAGCCGAAGAGAGGCTGGATAAAATCTGTGCTGGCGTCCCTTCGTTTCTTAGGCTAAAGATGGTTTACAGACAGCTGCGTGCTGACTTTGATGTCAGAACATTAATTATTAGAAGGTAACTTTACACCAGATTCCCCTGGAGATTAGAGCTCCCTGAGGTGGTGGGGAGGAGATGGGTCTCCAAGGAGATCTTAGGGCTCTGGTAAGCACAACAGCCTCCACTATCCTTAAAGCTGGAGAAAGGTTTTCCTCAGCTCACCTTCTTAGGGCCAGAGCAGCGACCTTGGAGTGAATTGCTTCCTTTGCAGTTGATGGTATGGCATAGACTGTGGTTACATAGGTTGTGTAGCAGACGCTGCTGTGAATTGATGACTTCAGCCCACTGTTGGGAAGCGTGTGATGTTGTGGCTTTGGTTGTAGAAGCAGAGATTTTGAAGAATTGCTATTTTGGGAAGGTGACAAACCATAACGCAGGTATCGCTGCAGAACGGTGGCAGCAAGTGTGTAATTCTTCTGAGTTAGATAATGGGAGGTAGGAGCTGCCTTACAGTCACCTTTCACTGCCTTCTGTCATGCAGAGAGTACCACACCTGGGCTGGGAAGTGATTTGGCTGACCTGGTGTGTTCTGTTTCCAAAATTGCCCTTGGATTCTGCCTGTTCCTTTGGCTGGTGGGTGATGCGTTGCAATAAGGCTTTATTGAAAGTACTCAGACTGTGAGGTGCCTGATGGGACTGGCTAAGTGAGTAAATGGTAATGGATAAGAAAATGGGGATAAGATGGTTGGTTAGTGGGCTTTGGGCAAGGAGAGAATTGATGGAGCAACAGCAGAACCCTTTTTCTCTGAAGAGTTTCTCATGCCTGTAAGGAGGCAACACGCCTGGTTGATTCCAGTGGGTGTGAAATGTGTAGCAGAAGAGATGTGATGATGTGGCAGCCTTTGCATCCTCGGGGGCAGAACAGTCATGTCTTCTGGCTGCTGAGCAGTGCCTTGTAGATACCTCATGCAGCTCTTTGATCGGAATCAGAGTGCCACGCAATTCTGAAATCAAATTGCAGAAGCTTTGAAAAACAAGTTCAGAACGCTTGGATCATTTTTCACTCATTACAGCTCACTCCATAACTCTCATTGTTGGGACTGTGCTGAAATTGTCATGCTAGGAGGTTCTTACTGTAGTGGTGTGTGCAGTCTTGCTAGATGTTCACATCTGCTCTTCTGTATAGAAAACTTTCTGTTTTTTCATATTAAGTTGCAGCTAAGTACTATGTCGGTTTGGAAGTCGTTGTCAGCAGCATTCAGGATTGGCTAGGAAACAGGAGAAAATGATCTAGCCATGTTTCAGCTCCCATCTGTCTGTGCTGGGCTGGTGCAGGTACACTGCAGAGTTAAGTGGAGGCATCTTGAATGGGGCATTTATCTATGGGAGGGGGGGGACGTTCCACAAGTCTTTTCTCTGTATGCGTGTGTTCAGAGTGAAATGAGATGTGCCTGATGGGTGGGGAGGCTGGGCTAACCCTGATGCCAGCCTGGCCTTCCCAGCCCCTGCTTGCAGCTCTGAGCCCTGCTGTGCTGCTCAGCATCGCTCCCTGCAGCAGCCCCGCGTTCCTCCCTGCGCCCAAGGAAAGAAAGCTGCAATCAGGGTCTTTCACCCTCTAGTTACAGAGGGCTCTGCTCAGCTTTCTAAATGTAGCCAAGGGTCCCACCCATACAACCTCGCTCTTCTAATTTCTCAAATTACCCTTTAGTGCCCGCAAATAGAGTGGATGTTGCCTTGTAATTTGTTGTCTCTTTTGACAATTGAAGGAGACTCCTTCTGTTCCCAAGAGGCCCGAGCCTGGGGGAAGGGAGATGGAGGGCAGGCGTTCAGGCATTCATTTGGATTGGAAAGAATATATAAGGGAATATAGGGGGGAGAAATGGGAAACAGATTTGTTCATAGAGCTTAGGGCTGTGTTAGGCCAGCTGTAAAGAAATGCTGTATTAACTGTCAAAACTTTTGTTCTCGTGGGGCTCCTCAGTCATGGACTGCTTTCCCCTGCAAATCCTGCTGCCTGGAGTACAGTGCACTGCTTCAAGGCTTTGGGCATTTAAAGATGTCTAGGTCATAAAAAGTCTGAATTGTTCAAGAGTAAGTAGACATATAACAGCCTCATGTGTATGTGACCCTTCTAGTGGTTATGTTCACAGTCAGTGCCAAGTACTTTTAAAAGTGCAAAGCAAAATGGGTTTAGTTGTCTAAGGGAGTTCTCTGTGTTGGATGAGAGTTGGGTTACGGACCAGAACTCGGATCAAAAAGTTGAAACATGTCTGATAAAACCCCACAGTGACTGAGTTGAGAGAACTCAACAGGTAAAAGGATGGCTCTTTAAAGTAAGGAAACATGGGTTGAGACCTGACTGGGAACTGGTGTTCTTGGCTCTATGGCAAGAGAATGCAAAGCAAGGAGAATGGAAGGTATGATGACAGGCAGGAGTACATGGCTTATAAACAGCTTGAAAGGGCGGTTTGTAAGCTCTGGTGCTTAGAATAGCACCTGTACTCATTGTGTGATGCCTGTGGGATGGTCAGGGAGTGGAGTACTTCCTTAGCATCATGAATTCTCAACTAGTGGTTGTAGATCAGTTTGCAAGCACTCAGGAACCTTACAGCGTGAGCAAAGCAATGCGTTTAAGACTAATCCACACCTGTTTGTATTCTGTAGCTTGTAGAACGAGAGCCACTTCTGTGTCACCCAGACCTGCTGGATCCACTTCCTGCTGACCTGGAAGACCTTCCTGATGACTTTTTTGAAGTCACGGTGGACGATGTACGGAAACGTTTGGCACAGCTGCAGAGTGAGAGGCAAGTTCCCTTTGTGCTGGTGACTGTGTTTGCTTCATATCCTTCTGCTGAGTGCAGGCACACTGTGCCCCTGCTGCTGGCTGTGGTTTCTGGGGTAAGGGTTGTAGGTAAGTTACTGGGTATGGAATTAATGATAAGCACTGGAAATCTCTACCCTTTGTGCAGTTTGATTTCAAAGGCTATGCCATGTTTCTGTTTAAAGAACCTTTGTGTGTGAACTAGTTAACTGTTTGTGTTTGGGTTAATTGTTTCACTTGAAAGCTTCACTTGAAAGTTTCATCATGAAGTCTGTGATGCCTGGGTGGTGATAACTTTATCTGAGAACCTGAGCTAGTCAGGGCCAGTCCCTCACCAAAAAAAGGAGTGAAAGAAAGGTTCCTTCCTGTCTTCTACACTTCAAAGAGTTAATCAAAGCTACTTAACACCCCATCTCTTTTTTTTTTTTCTTTTTCCTTCTCCTTTGTTCTGAAAGATAAGCCACTGTCTTTTATATTAGATGTGCTATTATTTGCTGGAGGCTCAAAACAGTGGTGAACTCCTGCTTTCTGTTTTGATGTGACTTCATATTAACTACCAGGAATTAAATGGCTGGAATTAGTAACTTGTGATGGACAAACATATGAGCACATACAGCTTCTTAGGAGTAACTCCCACTAAGTAAGCATCATAAGCAGCATGACAAGCATGTCAAGAGGGGGGATTCTCTCTCACCTCTGCTTTTGTGAGGTCCTACATTGCAGTACTATGTTAAGCTTGGGGCCCTCAATGTAACAGAGACCTACTTCTGCTGGAGAAGGTCCAGGAGGATCTTGAGGATGATCAGAGGACTGGAGCACTTTTCCTATGAACAAAGGCTAAGAGAGATGGGATTGTTCAATCTAGAGAAGAAAAGGCTCTGGGGAGACCTTATAGCAGCCTTTCAGTACCTAAAGAGAACCTACAGGAAAGCTGGGAAGGGATTCAGTTGGGAGTGTAGTGATAGGACATGGGGGTGGCTTTAAACAGCAGATTTAGATTAGGCTTTGGGAAGAAGTTCTCCACTTTGACAGTGGTGAGGCACTGGAACAGGTTGCCCAGAGAAACTGTGGATGCTCTATCCCTGGAAGTGTTAAGGCTGGGTTGGATGGGGCTTTGAGCCCATGGTGGGGAGGTTGGAACTGGATGATCTTTAAGGTCCTTTCTAAACCAAGTGGTTCTGTGACTTCATTAGCAATTACTGGCTTTTTCAGCTAGAAAGAAAAACTTTATGTTCTGTGAAGCAGTTCTGAACTAAAAACTTACCTTAATGTAAGGCAGCCTCCCTGTCACAACAGCATTTGTCTGTCTGTATGTTCTCAACTAAGCTAACTTCATCAGGGTATTTATTTTTAAGAGCATCACAACATGCCTTTAAACTCTGCAAGCAATCCATGAAACTACGCTATAGCCAAGAGGAGTTGGAGCTGGTTTTTCTCCCCATAGACCTCTGAAATCCACATGAGTACACAGATGGGCTTGAAAATTGCTCTGCCACTTGTGGGTCTGGAGCAGTTAGTGGTACAAATGTGGGGTCATTTGGTTGGGGGTTACTGGAATTCAGCCCCCTCAAAAATTTCCTCATTTCCAAATTTGCTGATGCTTGTAATCCTTTTCCCTCCTCACAGCCAGGGATAAATATAAAGACAAGTTCCACATGAAAGTGATATCAGTTGGCTTCTGGTCTTAGCTGCTGAATCTTACTGAGGACTAGATGCATGCAGGGCAGTATTTTATGTGCAATTAGAATTTAGTTCTGATTTCATGAAGAGGCAAGAATTGATGTCAGAAATTGGTACACAAAGAAGAAACGGTGCAGATTAATTTCATGATTGCTTTTCAAACCGTGAGTAATACTTTCAGAGCATTTCAGAATGTGGTGTTCCAGCAGACAGTTCTGAGTACAGCAGGTGAAGTAAGCCTGTAGTGGTTTTGTTTAGCAGCTGTTGTTCCTGAGGTACCTTGGTGATTTTCAAAAATACAGAGGTCCTTCAGTCTGGATAGGCATAGGAGATAACTTAGAAATAGTTGTGCATTATTGTAATTATATGATCAAATGTTTCACCAAAATGTATTCTGGTAAATAGGATATCCAGAAACAAAGAAAAGGTCTGAAGCTGAACATGGAATTGAAAGGGATCTGTTCGATCTAAGCTTATGTCTTTACTTACAGAAAAAAAGATGTGTATGTTTTTGTGAATGCACTGTTTCATCTCAAATACTGCTGTGAGAGATGTGTGGAACAATTGAGCAGTTCTCATCAGCTTTGCTTGGACCTTATGCTTTCTTAATAAAATTGAAGTGTATCTCAAATGTACAAAACTGACAGTTTGTTGTCTTCCCATGTATTTAGGAAACGCCTGGAGGAAGCTCCACTGCTGACCAAATCTTTAAGGGAGGCTCAGCTGAAAGAAAAGCTAGAACGTTACCCAAAGGTAGCCTTTGTTCTTTTCCCAGTCCTTCTGGCTAGCCCAAACGTGGGGGTTAGTAGCTTTGTGAACCAGATGAGAACAAGACCTTCAGCTGCTTACAGGAGGATGTTGTAAATTCTTTCCTTGTTAATTGTTTGTGGCACTTGCATAATAGCTGCACCAATTAAAATCATCTCTCATGGAATGACGTGGTTGAGTGCCGTGCAGTATAACTCCTTTTGCTTTGTTCCAGATGATGCTTCAAAACCCCCTCCTTACATACACACATCATTCTACCTGATTGAACTTTTCTATCCACCCCTCCTCTGTAAACTCTTAAGTTTCAATAGTATCTCATTACGGGTTAAATATTAGGGACTGGAGATACCTCACTTTGTAAATATGATCTTGTTGCAGCTTCTGTCCTTGATGATTTGTTGCAAAGAAATAAGAGATTACGTTCTTAGGTTAGGTGCTGTCTGACCAACACTGGAAATAGAATGGTGCAAGTTATTTTAGTTATGCTGCCCAGGAGCTGTGTGAGTGGCAGATTCCTGCTACCACAGGTGCTTCAAGGTACTGATTCACTGTCTGAACCTGTCCATATTTAGGAGATAGCAATGTCTTGTGAGCATCACTTAGTGCAGGGAGCTAACCAACAATGCTGCTGCACTGTAAGAGATAGTGTTTGTAAAGATCAGAGTTCTCTTAGGGCCTTGGGAAGCCAGGCAGCCTCTGTGTGTCCTTTCAGGAGCTGCACAGTAATTATCAACCTGCGTGATTTTGTGTGCCTGTAGAGTAAAAGATTCAAATCTCCCTGTGTAAAAAGAAACATGCAGCTTTGAAGCCAAGGACAGGCCTTCCCAAATGGCCGTGCACAGCTGACCTGATGTGCTTTGCCTCTGACTAGGTGGTGTTGAGAGTCCATTTCCCTGACCGCCATATCCTGCAGGGGTTCTTCCGACCTACTGAAACTGGTAAGAGCAGCCTCTGCTTCAGGTGTGCCTGCAGCTCACCTCTCTCAGCATTAGCTGCATGCCAAAAGAGGGGTGGTTCTAGGATGATCTTGCTGCTGTCCAGGGGGAGTAATACAGGTGGGGGGTGATGGAGGGGGGAACAAGCTTTACCTACTATAATAAGGATAACAGGAGCCAGACATTTCTGTCTCTGTCAGTTCACAAAAGATAGAAAGTCTGACTGTGTGCAGAGCAACCCTTGCTATTATTAATTTAGATCTTATTTTGAGCAGGCAGCAATGCTATTTTTGATACTTTTATATGGTAGGGAAAACCTAATAATTAGTTACCAGTGTCTCACCTACCTGCTGTCTGCAAATCTTGGAGCTGCTATTGGATTTCTGTGGAAGAACTTGACACGACAGCATCTCTGATTTTGCCAGGGAACCATCACATCTCAGCATTTTCTCCAAGAGGTCTGCAATAGTAACAAGTGTGGTAGTGTTCCTTTGGGCAAAAGGCAGTCTGCAGACGTTACAGAGGGTAGTTCTGGAGGTACCTGTTAGCCCTTCTGCCTGGCGTCAGGGGAAACAAATGTAATGCAGCAAACTTCTCTCTCTTCCTTTTTTCACAGTTGGCATTGTGAGAGATTTTGTAAGAAGCCACCTTGCAGATCCAGATTTACCATTTTACTTGTGTGAGTGTGCTGTTGCTAATATTTGACCTTCAAGCCTGTTCCTAATCATGATGCATATGAGATCTTGTGATGCCATGACACACAATCTGGGGAGGGATGTATATATTTTTTCCCCTAAATACGGCAGCAGAATGCAAAGGAGGTATTATCAGCTCTTAGCCATGTTATGATTCTACCTAATCAGGAGCCTGTGTGGGCTGTGTAGAAGTGTCACTCTTTTTTTTTTATTTTTTTGAAGAAGAAAAAGCAGTAATCCCTCCCATACCTGCTGTATTTATTGTTTTGGTTGCTGGGTGGCCCTGTTTTGTAACTTGTTTTTTAACTTCAGTTATTGCACCTCCCAGAGTCATCTTGAACGATGAAAGTTTGAAGCTCTCTGAGGTAAGGACTCACGTGTGTGCTCTCTCTGACTTGCTGCTCCCCCTTGCCACCATATGCTTTAGTTACTTGCAAAAGAAGCTGTGTGCTGCTGTGATCCCTCTAGACCTTCCTAGCCACAACTAATGGGACCAGGTGCTTCAGAGCACAAGCTGCTCACCAGAAGAGGTCCACCTTGTGCAGCAATATGTTCTTTTTTTGTGGCAAGGGTAGGGGCTTTGAATTGTTGTATACATACAATTAGTGCCTTGTGAAGTCTGTACTGTATTTAACCTTAAAAAAAGGCAAGAGCCGTTTGTTGTATTTGTAGCTGGCCTAATATAGTAGAGATGACACTGGATTTGGATAGGTGGCTGTTTTCAGTTTTTATGGCAAGAAGTAGAGGCTGTGTTAGTCACAAATCTGACCATTTTGAAGCTGCTGTATGAGTGTTTAATTTTTCAAATCCAGACTTGTGGATTTTTTTCACAAATGTCAGATCAAGGGGTCTTGAAACTTCTGGTCAGACACATGGCTACGTAAATCACACGTGCTAAGGAAAGTCTGATAAAGAGATTTTACAGTCATTTTACCCCACATTCGAGATGTTTAAAATGTGGGGTCATTCAGAGCTTCATGGCCTTTTGCACTGGTGCACTGAAGATCACTTGCAGAGGAAAAAGTCGAGCAGACTGCAGTGAAGGTTTTAGCTTGATGCCTCAGAGCAGAACAGTGCAATGGCAGGAGAGAAAAAGGGACCTTTCAGGCAGTGTGGCGAGTTAGGTAGGCATTAGCATGTCTCTGAAGTTGTTTGTGATGGAGCTTTCCAAATTCCACAACTTCATGACCAGCCCATGTGGATATGATACAAGTGCAGCTGCTCGTAGGCTATTGAACATCCAGAGAGGCAAAGCGTGTATCCCTGTGCTCACAGGGTGAAATCTCTTTTTCCTTGTAAGCTGATAAAGATTCATTGCTGAAATTTGTGGTTTTGGGAGTGTCAGCATTCTTTGTATTGTCACAGTAGTTATGACAGGTATAGATTCCTAGAGAGTTCTGAGCTTCTTGGGGATCACAGCCCCATTTGGTTCCACGGTTCAGGAAGTGCTGTGCAGAAGCTGTTGGCCTCTGCCCAGCTGCACAGCCTGAGGACTACCTGCTTCTATCAGACTTCCCACACTCTACTTAAGCATGTCACCTCTTTGAATGTGTTGTGCAGGAGACTGTGCTTCTCCTGCCAGACAGGAATGTGAACACGTATGTCTTGGTAAGAAGTAATACCATGGTGCGTGGGGTGACAAATGGTTTTCTTTTCAAAGCCATTTTTGTGTGATTTAATCAGTAACAAAAATACCAGTGGAAAACACTTTGTTTCTTTGAAACAGGAGACTTTCCAACTCAGGCACAAAGGCAGTTTCTCCCAGCTTCCTCTGACTTGTGCCATCTCATCCACATCTGCCATCCAAAACATTGTCTCAAGTCCCACATGGTAACCATGATGGGAAATGCAAAAGACAAATTTTGTCTTCAGATTTCTGAGAAACTCCAGGAAAAGGAAACCGGTTGTAGTTGCATTGCTAATAATACATTTGGAAAACATTCGGAGGAGCAGCAGATAATAAAAAATGTTATCCACTTGTTAGCTGTTCTGAGGCAAGGGAAGCAGCCTTGGAAACGTGGCTTGTGCAGGCGTGTTTGAAATGGCACATGCACGCTGCTCTCTGCCCCCACACCTTCTCCTGTGGTTGTCTTAAGCTGTCATGTCTGGACACATCCCTCACCTTGAGTTCCTTTACACACGTTTTCTAACATGCTTATTGGAAAGCTTTTTTTTTCTCCCCATGATTCCAAAGTCTCTCTGCAGCTCTCGACAGCAGATGTCTCCTGCATAAAATGAGCGTTCGTCTTTTTCTGAGATTTGGCTGGGATGCCTTCCAAGCTTTCCTGTCTCAGCCTCCAGCTTCTCTTGTGTTCCTACAAAATATACTGCTGCTTTTCAGTGTCTCTGCAGTGATTTCTTTTCCATATGCCGCATTTTCCTCTAGAATCCAATGGGCTTTGAGTTTTGATACTATTTATTTTTTCTTTAAGATGATTTTTTTTAAGTACCTCCAAGATGCCGAAGAGTCAAAATCTGCCTCTGTAATTTACATTTTCCCTCTTCTTGCTTCTTATCTCTTGGATATTTTGCTGTTCCTGAAGTTCTAGGTACTTCAATTTCTGATGCTGCTTTCTGTTTTGTCAGTGTTGGAAAGCACCCTGTCTGCTTGTGTACCTGTCCTTATCACCTTGAAAATGCCTTCCAAGGATTTTCTGGGTACCCGTGGTTATCACTGAGACTTTCAGAGGCAGAGGCTACTTGAGCCTCAACACAAACCATTCTGGACATCAACTGCTGCCAGCCTGGATGTTTTAGGAACATACTGTATTGGTTGGAGCTCCTTTCTGTGTGATATGGCTAGGAATTGGTTGGTTGGGGATGCTCGTCCAATGTCAGGCATGGATCACAGACCTGCACCTCGGTTTCCCAGGATTTATGTTAGCAGTCTGTTATCTTCCAGTGTTCAGGCTGCTGTGTTGCTGTCTGTAAGAAAAAGTAGATGGCGTCTGAGGTAGTAATGTGGGTACATTTGAATGATGTGAGTGTAATTTGTGTTGAAGCCAGTCACAGGAGTCTCTGCAGATGGTGTAGTGTGCTATTTTCAGTATTTTTCTTCTCTACACTCTCTGACTGCATTCAGGCTGATAAGATTGGAACCACATTTATTAAATCTGATAGCTTACAATGAAGGGAGAACATTTATGATATAAGCAAAACCAGGGAAAATGACAAATTTTGTCAACTTGTTTGCTAAAATATTTGGGCTGAAAGAAATGCCTGAAATGAATTCTCCTGAAATGTGTGTACTTACACTGTAGTGAGAGCATGGATAGGCAGCAAGGTATTCTGGAACCAGTGAAGACTTCAAGACATTGCTTTGATTTTTCTATTTTATTTTTGTTATTGTTGTTTTTGCTGGCTGCTTTATCCTCAGGTCCCTTGAAGTGTTTTATAATGTTCTGCTCTCCAGAACTGAACAACCACAGGCTTCCCTGTTGTAGCACTTGGCCTTGAGTTTCTTACAGCACTGGTTGCCTGTTTGTGCTTCCCTAGGCTAGCCAAGCTTCTCAGAGTTGCTCTTCCCTTTCTTGTTCCTCCCAGAACCAGGCACTTGAGTAGCTTGTATCTGGAGGGCATTAGTAGAAAAAGTAATTAAGAGCTGAGTTAATACCAGGAAAGAGTTAGCAGAAGGTAAGAATACCAGCCACTGGGAAGGTCAAGGCAGCAAAGGGCAGGAGGCCATATTCCCTCTTCTGAGGAGCTGAAGGAATCCACACTCTTCCATGTAAATATTTAGTTTTTTTAATCAGATCTTAGAGTGCACCAAAGTGTTTCCTCTGGCACGTACTGTGGGGCAGGAGTGCAAAGGAGCTGTTTGTTCATTTCTTTGCCTTTGGTTCTGTTTCCATATCCTACTCATTAATGCCATTTTGGGCAACACGTCTGGCATTCTGTTCACTGAAGCTGACTGACTTGGGCAGTGTGAGGCCTTCTGACTTTTGGCAAGAGTCTGAATGCAATTGCAGAAGAAACTTCTTCATGAGAGTCTTTCCACCAGAGGTACTTCCAGTGGCTGTTCTTGGTGTTACTCCACTCGCTAATGAGGAAAATCAGAATTAATAGTGAAATTCACCCAGAGGATGGCATTCACCTTCCTGCATGAAGCCTCAGCCCTTTATTACCACTCAGGATTTTCTCATCTAAGTAGGCTTTGGTCGGAATCTTACTTCCTATTTGTCATACTAGACCTGGTAACTCATCATGGCTGTGCACGCTTGCTTCTCGTGCTGGTTTGGATTAGGGCAAGGCAGTGCAGTAAGGATGAGGCCTTTCTTGCACAGCTTAGTTCAGAGTGGAAATTCTGCCAAAAATATTCCCTCTTCTACTATTAATTTCGGAGGCCAAATCTTTCTGATCTCAGCTCAAGGGCTCAATGAATACTCTTTATACCTGGATTCCTTCTTAAGTAGCCTTCTCAAAATAGTGCTTTCAAGTCTTATCTATGCCTTATGAATTTTAAAGGGCCCCTGTTCAAGCTGGATCAGATTTCCCCCGTATTGGCTGCAGAATATCCATCTTCTTTTGCAGTTGCAGTCCACATTGAGAAGCTTTGTTCTCAGGTTATAAACAAGAACCACTTAGTCACTTTGCCCCTTTCACCATGGCTGTGGTGTTTATTTCTGTTTCAGCAATGCTTTGCAGTCTTGCTTGAGGAAGCTTTTGATCCACCGGCTTTCCGGTTGAATTTTCCAAGGGCAAGTTTATGTGTTTGGGGTGTGTGTACTGTGCAGTATTTCATGTTGGTAGCTTGGGTTTCTCCTTCCATGCGCGTGTTCCTTTGAAGTGCTTATTTTCTTATTCATCTTTTAACATCAAACTAACTGCAGACCTGTGGCACTCTAATCTTTTCAGATCATGTAACGGAAAGAATGCTTCTCTTTCTGGCAGCTGCGAGCTCCCCTTAGACAACAGTCCCTGCCTGATTTGAAAGCATCATTCTTTCTGTGAGCAGAATAACTGCACGGTAATAATGGACATCGTTTGCGGTACTCAGCTGTAGGACTTTTGGAATGCGTGCATCTGGAAGTGCCCTCTGAGGGAAGAAGTGTTGAGATGGTACTGAGGGAGGGTACTGTCTGAAATCGTTTTTGTGCTCTAGAGAACAAATGACTAAAACATGCAATAAAAAAAAAATCAGAAATATTTCTCCTGTGCGTCACAGTTGGATTCGCAGTGGAATTTTGTTCTAGGATGGATATTTTTATCATGACCCAATATACCACTCCACAACCAGGATGCCCTGCTGTCATAAACCATGCTCACCACTGTGGTATCTGAGTAACTTGGGTTGTCTGAAATAGAATTTTGGGTTGCTGTCGCTACAGAGTTTGAATGTGGCTGTGTGAGCAGCAGGCTGGTCTTCAGACAGCAGAAACAGAAAGCGTGAGTCTCAGCTTGTACCAAAGCAAAGTGATGAAGCTGTGTTACTGAAGAATGTTTGAAACCTAAGGAATTGTTTGTTAGGAGTGACCCTCCTTAAGTACACAGGGTGATAAGCAGGACAGTGGTTCTTCTGCTTCTTGCCTCATTGGTGACTGACTACAACCCCGGTTGGTACTCTGGAAATATATATTTATTCCTGCCACTGCCATTTTGTGTGGCCTTGAATAAGTTACTTATTCTCGTTAGATGTCAGTTTTTCATTGGTACAAAAAATTGTAGTTTCTTAGATTTTTAATTTGCACTGTGTGTTGCCTTTCATTATGCACACATACACATATATAGTGCACATTAGGACACCATTTCCAATCAGATTTCTAGGTACTCTTGCAGTAAAAATAATAATCCAACTACATCTTGCAAATCTACCTCGAACAGTGTGATTTGAACATTAAAATACCATAGTGTAATAGTTTTAATTTTCCTTGTAAGAGTAACATTGTACCTTTGGCTGGAAATGAAGGCAGCCAGGAAGAGAAATGCTGGCTATTGCAGCATGGTAACTACCTGTTGACTTCTGTTGTAGTAATTCTTCACGTATAACTGAGTGGAGTTTTTTGAATGCTTGTTTTAAGCAACCTGTGATTTGTTTGATTGGTCTGCTGCACCCAGTGTAACCGTAAGAAGTTTCTAAATCTCTCTTGGCTCAATGATATTCTTAAAAGAATCCTGTGCAATGAATTTAAGACTGCAAGATTCATCTTCTAGGGCCACAGAAGCATGTAAGTGAAGAAATTACTGACCTAAGAGTATGCATTTTGAATAACATTCTGCCCAATGTGACTTCAGCTTCCAAAGCAGCGTTGGGGAATACGAAAGGCTCCAGCTTTCTGGTTGTGTATTTTCCTGTCCTGAGGATACTAACTCCTTCTCACCTTTATGCCAAGGCATTCCTTGACGGGTGAGGTTATTTCACTCTGTGTGCATATTTCTAGGTATATCTTTATATGTAGTGTTGCAGAAAGCTCTGAGGCAGTGTGTCCTGCTGGTGACTGGCTGGAGAGCTGGTGGGGTAGCAGTGAGATGCAGCTGGCTGTTTCCTGCACTGCACCCAAAGTGAGCCCTGAAACAGGGGGTGACACCTGAGAATTCTGAAATGAGAAAGCTGGATAAGGGGTGGTGTGAATGAACTGTTACTGTGGAGAAAGGTCTGAATGCAAAACCTTATCGGGTATGAATTTGGTAACAGATCCCTGTTGGCTGAGCACTGGGAAGGGGCAGTGATGGGGGGAATTGCTCTGCCGTAGGTAGGAGGTTGTGTTGTGTATGCCTGTGACCTGCTGTCCAGTGCCTTTCAGTTAAAAGATTTTGGATGGATATTTTGCCAGCAGCGGGAAATGGCTGTGGTGGTGGAGCCTGAAATTCAGAACTAAGATTGTTTGTCAACTTGTGAGTAAATAGGGTAGAGGTTTATATTGGGGCACATTCTGTTTGTGTGTTTCTGCTGCTCAGTATGTCTGTCTAGCTCTCAGTCTGTGCTTCTCTCTCTCTCTCTCTTTGTGCCTCACTTTGGCCCTGCCATGAATTTTCTCTGACCCCTTGGGGCCATTCCTGCATGGAGCTTTGATGTGTGTGCCCAGAGCTTGATTGACAAGCAAGTTTTGGTGGTGGCAGTGGGGAGAGAGGAGGGCAGGGCTTTGAACTAAAAGGCTTTGAGTTTTGAGATGTTGTGCTTACTTATCTCCTTCAGAATGTTAATTATTTACCGAGATAATTGGGCAGGAGGGGAAAAACAGAGAGGGGAGGTTATTAAAAAATTCCAACACTAACACGCTACAAAAACCTCATTTTCCAACTTGCAGCTGGCATGAAAAGGATGTTGTGTGCAAAAGGGCTTGAGTGTATGTGTGTTTGGGGAGGGGGTGCTGGGGGGGCTCCCTTTTAAGCCACCCATTTCCTAAATAGAGGGATCCCTTCAGACGAACGCAGCGGAAACATCAAAGCTCTTGGAAGAATTTTCTCTGGGGTTTCTAAACCGTGGCTGGTACTTTTTAATTAAAAAGTTTATGGAGAGCTGTCTTTGTGACTGGAGCAGGCAATCTTAGGCACTGTTGATTGAGGACTAACGTGTTAAAAAGACCTGGTAAATAATGATTTCTGCTAAAATGACACTTGGAGGATGTGAAGATCCCTGGTCGCCAGGCAGGAGCTGAGGTTTGGAGTAGACAAATGAATGTCTCCTCTGCTTTACTCTAACTGTGTTACTTAGGAAATTCTACAGCACCTTTTGGATTAATGTCCAAAAACTTGCAATGCCACGTACTTGTTGGCATTTGTACCAGGAAAATAGTTGAAGCTGATTCATCTCATCTCCATTCATCCATCTTGATTAATCTACATCTATACTAGGTGGGAATCCAGAGGCTCCCCTGTAGAGATCTGATTGGTTTTGGTTTGTGGTTTGGTTTTTTTTTATTGAGATACTATAACTGCTTTGCTGGATGGAGCATCAGTTCCAGTATCCTGATGGTGGCAACAGAGGCTCAAGAAAACTCAAGAGCAGGCAGCCTGCCCTGTGCAGTTCCTGGATGTGCCTTGGTAGTAGAAACAGGGGCAGCTGATGCTGACAAGACTTATTGGTTTGTTTTGTTCAAGAAGAGAAATGGAGTGGTGTTATTTTGCCAGAGTAAGTGTAGACCATTAGTCAACATTTTCTGTCTCACTGACAGAAGGGAAAAGTCCGAGTGTGGTTTTATTGCACTTATGTGCTGGCAAAAGAGGAGTGCTTGCTGATCATATGCTCTTTAATGTGTGTTCCTTGTGTACGTGAAGGGGTAGGCAGAGATTCCAGGTGATGAGTGCACACCTTTCTGGGGCCATCATGGCTGGGACAGGCAGTGCTTCCCATCTTTCCTGTGATGTGGTCAGCTGTGACATACTGCTGTTTTGTACGGAGGTGAGACTGCTGGGATCAGACTCAATGGATTTACATAGTGTAACATGTTTCATTTGATTCATTCCTTCATGAACTATATGCATATGTATTCTTTTAAGGTGTGACACAGTAATTAAAATGCATATTAAGTTAATTATGCTTTGGCTGACAAACATCTCACATAACACTCACTGAGGAATTGTTGAAAAGCAGGGGTTGCAGTGGTGTTCTGGGTTCAGTTCTGGGCATGCTCTGCTCATTATCATCTCTTTTAGAGGTAAATACATAAATACAAAATAATAATATTTGCAGATAAAATAAAGTTCATCAGGGTGATAAATGCAGATGTGAAGAAGGCAGTCCTGCAGTTACTATAATGAGCTAAATGAATGAAAAAACAGTTTGAATACAGCACTTAACTAAACAAGTAGGAACTAGCACTTCAAACTGGATTGAAAACAAGTAGGTTGTTGGCACAGTGTGTTGCTGCACATCTGTGTGTAGGAGAACAGCTTGTGAGTTTTGCTTCATATTTACTGTGAGTGCCCTGTGCTGTATGCAAGTTGAGACTTCTCTGAGTTATAGATGCTTCAGTGACCAGATCTTAAACTCTCTGAATGTGTCCATAGCTGTCTGTCTCTAACGTTCACAGTAGATTGTGGAAGCACCTACAATCAGTAACCTCTTCTTTTTCCCCTTTGCTGCAGGCTAAACTCTTTCCAGCTGCTGTCATTCATTTTGGATCTGAGGAGCGCAGGGGTGAGTGAGCTTCCTCTCTTCTTCACCTGATTCTATAGCACCTGTAGAAGACTGAGAAGAATTGTATCAGTATGTTAGGATTTCTTCCAGCAAAAGATAATGCAGTCCTTGCCAATGCTGGTAACTGTTCCCCTTCAGACTGGTTAAAGCTCATCAGAGCTGGGTTGTTCTCACTAAAAGTGGATTTTACTGCAGTTAGCTTAAGCACAAATATAAATACAGTACATTTCTTGTGAGATTTGTTAGGCTGTTGAGCAGGCATTGTCTACTATGAGGACAAAAATGAAAGAAGAATAATCCTATAGAAGGAAATTTCACTATAGAAAATGTTAGCTGGACAGATGTGAAATGCTCATATAGGCCTCCTGCTGAGTGGACTAGCTGGAGGTGGGAGAACAGATTGGAATCCTCAGTTGCCTGATGTCTCTGGTTTGTACTTAGAATTTCTCTTTGTCCCAGAGATTGAATAACACTCTTGTTTAGCATAATAGCTCGTCAGACGGAGTGAGCACTGAAAGAAAACGTCAGAATCTCAAGGTTTTGAATGAATGACAAAGTAAGATGCCTCGAGTTGTGTAAGAAGCAGTCACAGTTTGAAAGTGTCCTGTTTGACAGCTGGTGGAAAACTTGCTGTGGTGTACAGCAGGTTCTTGTTGAGCACTGAGCTACGTGAGTCTGTGATTGATGTCTTTATGTTACCAAACAAGTGTTGGGATTTCATCAAGTTTCATTTTAAACAGATTGTTACCTGAAATCGGACCTGCTGAGCTCTGCAGTTTCCCCTTCTGCAGCTGATTTATTGATGGCCAGGTATGTTGGAACTGAGTAGAGTTGCAGTTGAGTATTTCAGGGAGGGGGTGTGGGGGCATGAAGTGCCTTTCTGAAAAGAAATGTGATGTGAAGATGCTAGGACTTCAGTTTCTCCTTCGTACAGTCATATCTGAACTTGTAGCTTGATGAGTCCTTCTTTGTAAAGCAGGATTTCAGTGACTACATCAAGTAAATCTTAAGGTCTTTATCATGGAGAAGAAGAGCCTTGTCAGTCCGACTTAGAAAGCTTAAATGTGGTGATACATGGGGCTAGTATGAAAAAAGGAGGTTGTAATTCTACTTGCTGATTTTCTTCCTTAGATGTTTGTCCAAACCATTAGCTCCTTCTGCCTCGTCATCCTCAGAATCAATAGTTCCACCCCTACCTGAACCAGAAGTGGGCAGTGACAAAAAGACTGAACGACCAGAACCAGCAAGAGTGCATGAAGCTCCACAGGTGCTGAGAAGGGCCCCTGGGAAAATACCCAAGTGGCTGAAGCTACCAGGTATCACAAAATCTGGGGAGAGATCTCCTGCTGAAACAGTTTCAGTGTTGACTCTGCTCTTGAAGATGTCAGCAGAAGGCTGGCAGGACATGATATCAGTGCTTGTCAGTCACAAATCATTTTGTGCCTTAAACCTCAGCCTTCACTGGAGAGGTGCCTCAATATTGGTTCTATAAGGAATTAAAACTACGAAACATTATGTGGAATTCCCTGGCTAATAATGCCAAATGTTAGTTTCCTGGTAGGATATTATTACTTGATTCTGTGGGGGCATCAGCTCCAGCATCATAGGAAAAAGTGTGGAATTATTCCTGAAAGGCTGCAAACGGTCGCTTGGGGTGTTTTTTCCTGTTGTGGCAGATCTGTCCTTGGTAGGATAAGGGGTAAGGATTTTGAACTGAGAGAGAGTAGATTTGCATTAGATGCAGGAAGAAATTCTCCACTGTGAGGGTGGTGAGGCCCTGGCACTGCTGCCCAGAGAGCTGTGGGTGCTCCGTCCCTGGAGGTGCTCAGTCATGCTGGATTGGGCCCTGGGCAACCTGAGATGGTGGGGGCAACGAGCCCATGGAGGGGTTTGAGTGAGCTTTAAAGTCCCTTCCAACACAAACCACTCTTAGGATTCTACCACTCGTACTGGGATAATGATGCACAGTATGTGGGAAGCAATATCTTTACCATTTCCTGTTTCTAGGACTCTTGAGCCATTCCACTTTCTCAAGTAAAGGTTATCTGGATAAAGCACAGAATAACATCTTGCCTACATATGTAGGTTATCCACTAGCAGCTGGTATGAAAAGTTAATCCTGTGCTCGAACATGCATGTTAATAATGTGTAGGATGGGGTTCCCTTCCCTGGAAGTTATGTTGTATTCACCATTCCATCTGCTAAAGAGCTGTTCTTCCACACAACCCAACCACTGCCTGAACACAGCAGCACATAGATCATGCTATTGAGAAATGATGCAGTGTGAACTGTGTGGTTAAGTGTTTTGATGGCCTTCTGTTTGTGTTGTAGGTGGGAAGAGATGAAGCATCCTGAGCTGCAGTGAGCATCCAGTTGTGCCTCTTTCCTGATGAACTACTTCAGAATTTGTAAGAAATTGTTGGTGGCCCTGGAGAGATCTAAATACATATGAACATTAATTACATACAGAAAATTGCTATTACTTTCAGCTGCCAGCTTCACCTTTTGGAAGTGTGCAAGGCCTGTTTATGACTACAGAAGCAAGATTAGAGGTTAAATTTAACATTTCCTGCATGCAAATAATATGAATAGAGAATGGAAGGGAAAATAATTCCTAGATAATGTCTGTGAAGGATTGTGATTTCATCCATATTTTTAAATCCAAATCCTCCTATCTTTTGCCTTTCTATCCTCAAAGATAACTTGAGTCTGGCTGCTTGAACTCTAGCAGCAAGGTACAATTCAATTTTACCTATAGTTTAGTGCTGAGTAGAACAAGACCTCTGCTTTTTGCTGGTAATTCTGGGTATAGATGGCTAGAAAGTGGGTTTAAGGGAAGCACATCACTTACAACAGTTCCAATTGCCTTTTCTTATGAATCTCGTGGTCTACTGCACTTACAGTTTTCATTTGCCCCAGAACACAGGTATCTGCTAATGGAATTTTCTCTGCACATAATTTATGTCAGTAACTATGGGTATAATGCGGGGAAAAAAAACTCCCATAAGAATCTCTTCATGTCACCATCAATCTGCAAACGTCTTCTGTGGTCTGAGAGTTCCCACAGCAGAGTCAGCTGTCCTCTGCGTGCAGTTGGTGTGCAGAGGGAAGTGCTGGTCCTGAATTTGCCTGCTGCAGATGCTGCAGTGGGATGAGTGTTCAGAACTGTGCTTACACTGGAGATCACAGTGCCACAGCAGCCATGGTGCTTTATTTTTATTTTGAATCTTCTCCATGGATCAGTGATTCGTATTGGGCAAGCTGGGGTTCCATGTTATGGTAATAGCATATTTTCCATTTTCCCTGTACAGACAATTGTTCTCCAAGCTATGTCTGCATCTGCACAATTCTGAGATGTAATAAAGCACAGTGGCCAGAGGAGGCCTTTTTGTCGGTCTCTTTGATAATGTGTTCCTTCCCCCAGTGCTCTGTTTCTCTGTCAGTTCACAGGAACCTGCTCTCTTTTCAATGGGCCTGTCATGCCTCATTCCCTTCCTCCCATTTTTTTTTTCTTCCAACAAAGCAAAACAGAGCTTTGTACCATCTGAATGAACTTCAAAGTAGCTAGAAAGGGCACCCAGGGTTCCTGGCACTTGTCATTGTCTCCCAGCCTGGCCAACATTTCCCTTCAGGTCTAATTACTTCCAAATGCTCTTAGATGCTTTGAAGAAACTTGAAGGGAGGGAGAAGCATGAAAGGTGGAAGAGGAAAAAGGAGACTTAAAGTGGAGGGAGCAGAATGCTTGAGCAGAAATGTTGATTGATTCCTTATATGACACCCAAACATAAACAGGGGCTGTGTGCGGCCACCGGCAGCGGAGGCTGCAAGAGCGCTGTGTGCAGACATGCTGCTCTAAGTTCTTTTCTTGAAAGGCAAGCCCTTCTGGTGCTCGATGTCTATAAAAGGTGTATTACAGCAAAACAAAGCAAAATTAAAATAGTGTTTAAAGCTTACTACTTCAGAGGATTGTGTGGGCTGAGCTTGGTTCAGGTGCTCTGTCATGCTCATTGCTTTCACAGAAGTTAGAAGTATGCTGCAGCTACAGCTGCTGTGCTGAGTTTGTGCAGGATGTGTTGGAGGCCCACGAAGAGCCATAGGTTGGCTCCCAGCATAGGCAGTGATGTACTCGTGCTGGTGTTTGAATCACTGGGTTAAGAGTAAATAGGAGTGTTTTGGATAGCAGGAAGCTGTACTGGGCTTCAGGTGTGCTACTCTTTGTTTCTGAAGAGCACAGGCAACGTCAAGTGCCTTAGCTGGTTTGATTTCATCAGTTTTGTCACTTGTGAGTACGTGGTGTGGGCAAAGAGAAGGGAATGTCTGGGGACATGAACAGCACTATCAGCACTAATGGGGCAGTTTATTGGTTAAGTACAGGAGTGAGGATTAGGAGGTTAATATCAGGTCTGTCTAGACCCAACTGCTGCTCACAGAAAATTAGGTGTGACTTAATCTGACAGAGGCACCAATAAATCTCGGCCCAGTTTCTTCTCTGTGGCTGGGATGAGCGACAGCCGCAGAACCAATACTGGGTTTAACCAGATGCCCAGAGTTAACTTTCTAATCATTTTAAAATCGAGATACAACTGGTTTACCCAAACATACCCTAATAGTGGCTGTGCCAGTCAGAAGAGGTTTCTGGTGAGGATTGGACTCCTGCAGCTGAGCCCACGCAGCTGCATGCACTGATTCAGTCCTGTTTGTGCATGCTCCTTGTGTAACACAGTGCATCAGTTTCATCTATTGCTGTTTTAATAGCATGAAAAATGGATATTCCATGGATATTCCAACAACCACATCGGGTCTTACTCTCCTATGCAAAAAAAAAAAAAAGAAAAGAAAAGAAAAAAGCTCCTGCTATTAAAATACCACTTTACCACTAACATCCAAATCTGCAGTCCTCTTCAGTCAGGAATGCTGGTGGTATGGGCCAGGGAAGCGAAGCTGAGCATTTTTAGATCCCTTTGTGTGTCACCAAGACTCAGAATGGGGGAGAGATGATTTGGAATCCAGATAAGGTTAAAGAAAAAAAAGTAGGGGTGGATTCTTTTAAAGGGACCAGAGGCTGTGGTGTGTGCAGGCTCTTCCTAAGGTACTTGCTACAGAGATTCCTACCACGCTGCAGAACGATGCGTGCAGATTCTGGCTTTGTTTTCTCTCTTCTGCTGCAGTATCTAACTCATCCCTAGGGGTGTTGGGCATTCAGAGGTAGTATTATCTGCATTTTTTGCTGTTGCCCTTTTTACCGTATGGTCGTGGGGCTGAAAGCTGAACTAGGTCAGTTATTTCCCTGGTTTCATGGTACAGCTGCACAAACAGTTCTCTTGGCAGAGAGGCTGCAGTTCAGAGGGTTGGGGCACTGCCTCGCCTGGTACCATCACCAAAAAGAATGCGTATTAAATTGTGGTTTTGGTCCAAATTTCCACGTGGCTCCCATCCGGAGTGATGACCTTGACAGTTCTCAGCTGAGGCACTACAGCGACCTATTGAGCTGTGCCTGCTACAGCTGTCAGCTGGAAAAAAAACCCAAAAAACTGCTCCCTATTACTAATCAAAGGCTGCAACCAGGCAGCAGCACTGCACAGCCCTTTGGACACACGGCCGTCAGCTGCTTTCCATGCAGCCGGCTCCGCGCTTCCCAACAAAGCCGGCTCAGTTGTGTGGGTCCTTTCCTCCATGTGCGAGGTTTCCTATTTCACAGCTCCCCCATCCTGCCCCCCTGCCGGCCCAGGGGCCGAGCTGTCCCATGATGTGGGATTCTCACACATGCTGTTTGTTATTCTGTCCTTTTTCCTTTCGTTCTACAAAGATTTAAAGAAAGAGGGTGGGTGAGGGGAAAACCATGCAAGTCTTTGAAGCAACTTGACTTTTGATGATTAATTGCAGCAATGAGCCTGCACAAGGGGGGGGAGCCTCGTTTTTGATTTATTGATGTTTCTTTGTGAGAACAAATTTATAGCAGAGGGGAAGCAGCTTCTGAGGAGAATATCAAATGGTTAAAAGGTTCTGAGAGCTCTTTGATGTCACAGCCCTGGAGAAATACTGGAAGGTAGTGAAGGACAGACACTGTTTATTTATAAAATAAAGATCAGATACCTGCTTTTGGCAAGAGCCTGTAACGGAGCTCCTGCTAACAACCTATTCATTAGCCAGGCTTGGAGCCGGACCTGAAGTTTCTGCCGCTGCCGCCCGCTGAGATGAGGAGAGCCTGATGTTTGGATGACATTTCCAGCCATTAAGTCTTTCCATGCCTCTCATCGTCCGAAGAAGCACCTGTTTCTCACATTAGCTGAGAAAGCAACACCAGCTTTACCGTGCTGATGGGCACACCGTTAAAGAAGGAAGGCAGCGAGAGGGAAACCAGTTACAGCCCACCAAAGCCAGTGAGCGGAGGCCTCTATTCAAAAACAGCATCTGCCATCAGAGCCTTGATACAGGAGCGGGGGAGCAGAAGCAATTGGGCAGAGGAAGGAGATGACACTATTCTTCCTAGAGCTGGACTCAGCATCAGGCCGGGATCTTCTGCCAGCGGCTGAGCCGTCACTTCTGCCTCACCACGTCTCTAGAAATCTAAAAGCTGTAAGGAAAGAGAAGAGCAGGGGCTAAAGGCAGCAAACCCGTGGGGCACAAATGAAGGTAAGGAAGCAGCCTCACTCACCAGCTGGGGCAGCACCTTCTCCACGTGCTCGATGTCCACCTTCTCCAGGTCCTCCGCCTGTGCCTGTCGCGCTGCTCGCGCCGCAGCTTCTGCGGTGCAGCCGGAGAGAGAGCGCTGCGACCGCGGTGCTCCGGGGGGGGGGGAGAACATCACCCCCGGGCCGGGAGGGGGGCAATGTGGGGGCAGGGCGGTCCGGGGACGCGGGTGGGGCCGGGGGTTGCGGGGCGCTCACCTCGCACGAAGACCGTCAGCAGCTCCGCCATCAGCAGCAGCGCGTCGCCGTTAACTGCGAGGACAGAGCGCTAAGCGGGGCTGGGGGGAACGGAAGGGAGGCCCCGCGACCGCCGGCCCCGCCGCCCCGCACCTCGCGTCCTCCCGTCTCGGAAGTGCAGCCGCAGCAGCCGCTCCACCGTCTCCTGTGCGGAGAGAGCAGCGGTGAGGCGGGGCGGGGCCGGTCGGACCGGGGCCGCTCCGCTCCATTCCGCTCCGCACCTTCCTGAAGCAGCCTTCCCGCTCCTCCATGGCGCCGCCCGTCCCACCTCCCGGACGCGCGCGGGGCGGGGCGGAGCGGAGCTCGGCTGCTCGGCGGCGGCAGCGCCGCGCTCGGCGGCGGTCGGTAGCGCCCCGCGGCCATGGAGGAGTTCCGGCGGGCCTACGAGCGGCTGTGCGCGGCGCCGCAGGATGCCGTGCTGCGGCGGCTGAGGGAGCGCGGGGAGGCGCCGGGTCGGGCCCGCCTGGACCTGACGGAGCAGAGCCTTTCGCTGGAAACGTGCGGAGCGCTGGGCCGCCTGCTGCCCGGGGCCGCGCACTTCGCCGAGGTGGCGCTCGGAGATTGCGGCCTGAGCGAGGACGGTGGGCGCGGGGCTGCGCCGGGAGCCGCGCTGCTCTCATGGAGCCGTTGCTAAGGGACGGCGTTGCGTCCGGCCCCGGGCGGAGCGCGAAGTAAACGGCTTTCTGTCTTTTCGTACCCAGGTGTGAAACTCCTGCTGCACGGCCTGTGTTCCAATACCACCGTCAAATCTTTGGATTTGAAGGTGAGTTTGTTAAGAGGCTGTGGCCCTGCGTGCACCCCTCGCACTCTCAGGGCAGCCCTCAAATCGTAGCCCTGTGAGGCCCCAAAGACTGGGGTGATGCCACTGATTGTCCTTAGGATGTGGTAAGAGTACTGGGAAGGGATTGGGATGAGAGCTGTTGGAGAGGGTCCAGAGGAGCCACAAAGATGATCGGGGGCTGCAGCACCTCTCCTACAAAGACAGGCTGAGGGAGCTGGGCTTGTTCAACCTGGAGAACAGAAGGCTGCGGGGTGACCTCATTGTAGCCTTCAGTACCTAAAGGGAGCCTGCAAACAGGAGGGGAGTCAACTCTTTGGAAGGGTAGATAACTGCAGGACAAGGGGAAATGGTTTGAAGTTGAGGGAGGGAAGATTGAGGTTGGATGTCAGGGGGAAATTCTTTACTGTGAGAGTGGTGAGGTGCTGGAACAGCTGCCCAGAGAGGCTGTGATGCCCCGTCCATCCCTGGAGGTGTTCAAGGCCAGGTTGGATGGGGCCCTGGGCAGCCTGGGCTGGTATTAAATGGGGCAGTTAATGGTGCTGCCTGTGGCAGGGGGTTGGAGCTTCGTGATCCTGAGGTCCCTGCCAACCCAAGCAGTTCTGTGATAAGAGTAAAACAGAGACAGAGGGATGGGGAAAGAAGTAGGAACATGAGCTCAGCTGGAGTTAGAAACAACCCCACAACACGGCTGTGCAGTTCTGTGCATGTCCTGTTCTCCTGCACCTCATCTTTGCCACAGCTCCCTATAATTACCTTGCAGCTCATCTTTGGTTTTACTGATCTGTTTTGATAGAAGGCTGTCGCTGTGGGTCACTGGGCTGTTGCTGCATGGTCAGTTGGAGGCTTTCCATTAGTTTTCTCTGTTAACGAGTGCATTTGTAGCAGCTTGACTCGAGCATCCCACTGGCTGGTGTCCGTCTGCTTTAACAGACTGAAATCAGCATTACAGCCAGAGTGCACCTGGTGCTGTGAGATGGGATGGCTGCATTGGAGCAGAGTGTTTCACTGATCACTCAGCACTTTCATTTCAGGGCAATAACCTGCGAACCACAGGAGCTGAGGCACTGGGAAAACTTCTTAGGCAGAACAAATCTATCAGGAGGTAAGAAATTGTATCTCTCTCTTTCTGTTATTCCTACCAAATGGAACCTCAAGTTGGAAAAGAATGAGGGATGAGGGCGAATTTCTTGGGCTAGGAGGGATGTCAAGAGTGCCTGTGGCTTAGGTGATGGAGTGAGAACTGGAGGTGCCTCTTCTGGGGATGCAGAGCACTCTGCTCCCTGAGGCTGTGTTAGGGTGGCTGGGTGCTGTGATCCAGGTATCATTCAGGCTCTTGCAGCTGTCCTTTTACAAACTCCAACCCTGTCTGACTTTTCCTCAGCTTAATCCTGGAATGGAACAGCCTGGGTGTATGGGAGGAAGGCTTCTCCTTTTTCTGCCAGGGACTGGGAGCAAACAACTTTCTCCAGAAGTTAGATCTGCGCAACAACCAGATCAACCATCACGGGGCAGGAGAGCTGGCCGTGGCACTGAAACGAAACGCCAGCCTTCAGGAGTTGGGTGAGAGTGGCTGTTTGTCCACATACGTGTTCACATGCACATGGAATCGTTGTACCAACGCTGATCTCTGCCAACCAGTGAGCATCATTCCCAGTTCTTATTAACCTGGATCACATTGTATGCTGGGAACTGTCACTGGGATCTCAGCACTTCAGGTTCATTTTTGCCTTCCTGCTCTGGCAGTTGTTTCCTTTCCTTTCATTCATCTTAAAAAGGGAGGTGGTAGTCACTGCTGTGTTTGTGCTGAGACCTTACGGGATTGGTTAGCCATGCATGTAGAGGTATAAAGAGCATGGCTTCTCTTGAGCCTTGTGTGTTTCAGCAGATATGTGGCTATTGGGGTGAAAGATTGCTTTCTGTATAGATCTACGTTGGAATAACATTGGGCTTCTGGGAGGCCGAGCTTTGCTGAACTGCCTGCAGAGCAACAAGACCCTGAAGAAGCTGGAACTGGCTGGGAACAATGTTCCCAGTGACATCCTGAAAGCTGTGGGTAAGTAGGACTTAGAATTATAGAATTATATAGGTGGGAAAAGACCTTTCAGATCATCAGGTCCTCTTATCAACCTAACTCTACTGAGTGTACCACTTAAACCATGTCCCTAAGTGCATGGGAGAGAATCAGTAACTCTTCTCCAGTCTCAGCACTTGGGGAATATAGGGTACTTGCTGCTCCAAAAGGGAGCTGTCCCTCCTTCTCTCCATTTCTCTACAGCCTACACACAGTGCTCAATGTTATTTCTTTCCTCTCCTGTTCTCTCTGCATCAGAACAAGCCATGGATCACAACCAGGACCGTCAGACCATCCTCAGTGAGACACAGCACCGAACTTGTGTGCTCAGCAAGGAAATATTGAGTCTGAAGGATGAGAAGACCAAGCAGGTCAGCCATCCTTAGTCAGCACTTCAAACTGGTTAGTTGGAATCCAGTGCCTTCTTTCAGTGCCCCATTGTGCCCCAAAGACGCCTTCCTGCATCTCCTCCTGGATGTTTATGAGCAGTACGCAGCACTGTTCAGTAAATAGGCTCCTTCTACTGAGCTAATTTGCCCAGGAATCAAATCCATGACAGTGCAGGTATTGACACATCCCCTGCTGAGCATATTCGCTCTGGATTCTTGTGGAGTCCTGGTGATTTTCTTTGCCCACATTCATACTTCAGATTTCTTCTTTAGTAACTGAATTGATGTTTTCTGAACAGTGAAAACTTAGAAATATCACGCAGTTTTCCTTCTGGCCCTCAAAGTTGCAAAGCCCTGCAGTTAATGACCTCAGTCAGACATGCTGATGAACCCCTTCAAACCTGCAGTTTGGTTTCTTCCAAGAGAGTGATGTGAGCTCTCTTCTGCTGTCATTAGGAAGAGAAAGCTGACAGATACAAATGCTCCAATGCAGTTCATTTTTTCATGTGTGTGTGCCTTGTTCACAGTTCTTGGATTTGATGGACACTATAGACAAACAGAGAGAAGAAATAGCCAGGAGTGGCAGGTGAGTTGGATTTGAATGCTTTCTGCTGTTGGATAGCAGTATAGGACCCTTTCTATTTCCTGATAGAAATTAGCCACCCCTTTTTTTTTCTTCCCCAAATTCAGGATCTCTGCAGGACGTGTCAGCCAGCTGCAGGAAGCATTGAATGAGCAGCACTCTATTATGAATTCACTGAAAGCCAAGTATGGAAGAGGAAAGCCTTAACCTTCCCAATCTTCTGTGCTGTACAGGCAGGGCTGAGCAGAGCTGTTAAGGGGCTAAGCTCGAGTGGCTGGCTTAGTATTTCACATAATCATATCTGCACTAATACCCAGAAGTGATGGCCAGATCAGGTTTTTAGATAACTAATTATGACCAGATCAGGCTTTGATTAAAAACACTGCTGTAAAAGCAAGTGAATTACAGAGTGTGAACAAAAAGAAAAAGAATAGTGGGGATGGGGATATTTTTCTTCCACAGTTTGCAGCCTGGTGAAAGTCTGTCCCTGCTTTCCCTGGCAGTTGACAGGATTCTCTGAGAGCCACTGTAGATATGGGGGAACATGACCAGCAAGGTTTTGTGTTCAGGAGCAGTGAACTGGAACTGCCCAACAGTGCTGTTACACTCAGTAGAGCCGTATGCATGTGAGAACGGTTGGACTTCAAACACTTAATGACACTGGCTACTTCAGCTAAAAGTGGTTTCATTACATGGTGCCTCAGAGTGGACACGTCCTCATATACAGAGTGAGCAGATCACTTTCACTGCCTGTGTTCAGAATTCTGATCCTAATTCCTAATTCCATAAAATTCTTCCTAATTTTAAAGAATCTTGCAGTGGTGTAAAAGAGCCAGCCTTATTCTCCTCTGAGAGTGGGCAAATCCTGGAGGGGTCCAGGTATGGAAATCACTTTGTTGCAAATAGGCTCATATATGTTAGCATCTTGTAGCACGTAGTGCATGGTGCTCTCTTGGAGTGTCTCCCTTAGAAGGGGCTCTGGAAAGTGTTTCTCTGTGCAGGCTGCAGATGACTGAAGCTGCCCTGGCTCTGTCTGAGCAAAAGGTGCACAACCTGGGAGAGCTGCTGAGTGCCACGAAACAGGAACAGGCCAGCATGGCTGAGCGCCACTTTGCAGAGCTCCAGCAGCAAAAACAGGTGGGCTGGGTCAGTCCTAGTTAGGTTGGAGACATACCTGGGTCATACCTGCTTCGTGTGGGTTTGGGGGATGCTGGTTGGGTTAGGCAAGCATGACTCCACGAGTGGGTTTGCCACAGCTGCTGTGACAAACATTCATGTGGAAATGAGACAGGTGAGTGTGAGGGTGGAGAGGAGCTGGGGCATCTGTGGATGGGTTGGATTTTAGTTGGGCGCAGTGTTGGTTGTGCTACCTTGGTGGTGCAGAGAACTAAGTGAGTATGTGAGTTCTTTTTAATTCTGCTGCTGTTTGCAGGAAGGTGCTGAGCGGGAAGGCAAGCTTTTCCGGGACTTATCTGCCAGCAATGAGAAGAACTTGCTTCT